AGGACCAAAACCGTCCAGCATCACTATTATAGATTTTGTGTTTGTTTTAACCAACAGGATGTATAATAAGAAAGTAACTGGCATACTTTGCAAATAATTTCATTCATAAAAAAATAGATAAATAATAGCTACTGAATATATGCACCAAATAACCACTACTAAATGGTTACTGGGTATTGGTACCACTAAGCCCATGTAAGAACAGCCACTGACTGCATTGTCAAATGCAAGGGTCGAAGCCTCTCAGTATAAATTATGAGGGAACTAAGTGGTTACTCAACAGCAACCTCTATATCCAGCTCACTGTATGGCTCCAGAAACACTAGTGCCAACACAAGGAAAGGGTGAACACACACCTTGGACAAGAAAAAAAAAACACCTACCCTTTCAGCAACAGCACTGACTTAGATAATCTTTAACTGGTCATAAGAAGTCATTTCAGCCACAGTGATAAAAGCAATGTATTAACTGAAGATGAGTAAGCAATAACTTTCAGTTTTTATTTGAGTGACTGTTGCCATTTACTACAGCTGTAAAAAATAACTATTTATAATGACAGAAAATTCACTGAAGAAAATACCAGCTGTATTGTTAGAGTAGACACTTTGCACATTGGGTAATTCTAGAACTCAAAATCATGTACGTTCTGGCTAAGAAGAAATCTGATGATCTTGAAGTTTAATCTCTTTCACAGTGTAAGTAACCCAAACCTGTGACACTGCAGAAAATAATTATAAGTATTATGAGCCAGAAACAGTGGGTGAGCAGATTAAGTGCATTTCCCTCAGGAATCAGTGTCTCTCTTTTAGACCACCACAGTCTTGAAATTACTTGTCTAACATGTAAACCTCTAGTTGTTAATGCCACGTAATTAATGGAATCATACTTCCAATACATCTGCACAACCTCCACCTACAAACTTTTCTGAATTGTGGCATTTGGCCCCACCTGCAGTAATATAACATGCACACATGTAAGCCCTCACACAGCATTTAGGGAAAAACCCTTTTTCTGCTTAGCATGGCCTATTATAAGAAAAAAAAAAATACAGTAGTGATGACATACCAAATAACCAAGACACACATTTGGAGACTCCATCATCTAAAAAAAACCAAACCCACAAACAAACACACACCCACACACCAAAACAACAAAAAAAACCCCACATCCAACCAACAACAAACAAAAAACAAATCCACACCTGGCCAGTTTTAGTGCATTTAGTAACTGAACTTCGAAAGCAGAAGTTGTTGCTGAGAAAAGGCAAGATAGAGACAATGAGAAAGGAGGATGCGTTATGCACTCGAAGGAATAAAAGCTGCCTGGAAGGAATATCAAGAAAATATGGAATCATAGAATAGAATCACAGAACCCTTTAGATGGGAAAAGACCTCCAAGATCATCAACCTGGCTACAACCTCCTTTCAGGTAGCTGCAGAGAGTAATAAGGTGCCTCCTGAGCATCCTTTTCTCCAGGATAAACAGTCCCAGCTCCCTCAGCCACTCCTCATAAAACCTGTGCCCCAGATCTTTCCCCAGCTTTGTTGCCCTTCTCTGGACACACTCCAGCACCTCGATGTCTTCCTTGTCATGAGGGGCCCATAACTGAACACAGGATTTGAGGTGTGGTCTCACCAGGGTCGAGTATAGAGGGACAATCACTGCCCTGGTCCTGCTGGCCACACTGTTGCTGATACAGGCCAGGATGCCATTGGGCCTTCTTGGCCACCTGGGCACACTGCTGGCTCATGTTCAGCTGCTGTCAACCAGCACCCTCAGGTCCTTTCCCTCCGAGCAGCTTTTCAGCCGCTCTTCCCCAAGCCCTGTAGCGCTGCGTGGGGTCGTTGTGATCCAACACGTGTTTTCAAGCTGCATTTGACCACGACTTTAAAACACAACTGCAGCGTTCACACTGAAGACACCCCCTCTGTTCAGCAGCATCTTTCACACGCAGTTTTTACCACGTCCAAAGCCGAGGCCCGCCCAGGGTAAGGCCATGCTGCCACCTCGTGGGGACTCACACGAGACACACTGACTTTCACACAGCCTGCACTTCGAACAGCACCGGATAAAAATGAAGAAACGTCGGTAATGTTTATAATTACATTCAGAACTCTAACCAAGACAAACCTTCCTATCATTTCCCTTTTCCTGCTACACCCACAACAGGTCTGCCATCAACCACACCCCGCATTTTACCCCCCCCCCCCGGCTGTTCCTCGTTATGGTCTTAAGAAACTGTTTATGAGTTAAATTTTATATGGGAATTAAAACAGACTAAAGAAGAATAAGACAAAAATTTGGGTGCATAAGCCTTTCCTCAACTTGGAAGTAGAAGAAGCAATTTCCAAAGCTAAATACATGTTGAAAAAACACCTTCATTGCAAAAACTGGTTGGAGAATCTGAGAGGAAAGATGACTGGTATTAACAGAACAAGGAGAAGGAAGTTTAGCTCTTATAGGACAGAGAGAAGTGGTTCGTTTGTTTCCTTCTGAGGAAAATTATTTACAAGCTGAATCAGTTTGAGAATACAGTCTGGAAAGTTCCAGCCCTCACAAACAAAGCAGGCACATTCAAGTGTAGATAAACAAAACCAATGCAAGTGTGTCTGATTTGGGTGTTTTACCAAAAAGTAGGTGAGAACCTAGCTCCATAAAACTGTGTAATTTTTAAACTTAACTCCTATTTTCTTCATGCTTTCTTACCCATTGTGCCTGCAATTCTTCTGCCTTTTCAGCAGACAGAACTCTCCTCTTTTGGCTCTTTTCTCCACAGTTACTGTTTGCTTTGGCCACACCAACTGCAGTACTCCCTGCTATTAAGAAAACCTCGAGCAGGGTTTGTGTAACCTGTCAAACTCTACCTTGTTATCTGAGTCAATAAACATGTAATAAACACTCACTTAGTACATTTAAAATTATAGGTGCAGAGTAGATCCTAGTGTTACTGTCTAAAAAGTGCAAAAACATGAATAAACTGGGTTTTGTTAGTAAATTTGAGCATTGGAAAGCTGGTCTAGTTCATGAGTTGGCAAGGGTCTAAAAGTTGCAGTGTGTCTAAATATACAATCACTGCCTGAAGTGTAGCAACAATTTATACACCAAGATAAAGTATTTCTATTTCTTTATTCTAGTCTGTGCAAAGCAGATAGCTGGGTGGTAGCCCACAAAAGGCTGGAAATCATAAAAACTTTACACCATTTATACATTTCAGCAAAGAAAGAAATCAGGATTTATTAGCTTCAAGCTACATCGCTGTTACTGATTAGCATTCTACCTTCTACTGGTTAAATCATTCTCTCTCTTCTCAGGCCCATTAGCCTGCATGCTCAGTCACTCTCTTGAGTTGGTGGATTTTGTGACTTGGTGGGCGCTGAGTCATGGTCGCAATTTCCCCCTACTGGAATTATGTTTTTCCCAGCTGGAGCTGATTCCTGCACAGTTGCTGAGTTGGCTTATTAGTTTCTTCCTTATTTTGGGAGTTCTGCCAAATGTCCTTGTGGCTTGTGAATTCTGCATTCCCAGTGCCCACTTGTCAGTGGTACATCCTTCTCCCCAAGCTTTGTTAACCTGCCCCTGGTTCTGAGATCACTGAAGCGTGTCAAGCCCTCAGCCTTAAACAAGGCAATTCTACTGACAAGAAATTTATCTTTCTAACACCTGGACATCAACAGGGAAAAATCCACGTATTTCTAGTTTTAAAGCTTAGCTGTTTTTTACTAGGTGAATAAACAGAGAGCTGGAGAGTACCATGCTACAACAACTGAAACACAAGTGATAAAACACTGAAAAAACATCTCTTACTTATTCTGCCAGTAATGGAAATGGACATAAAATAAAGTAAGCCCAAAGCATGAACTTAATGGCTTCTAGCCCAGCGTGCTGGTTTTGGCTGGGGTAGAGTTGATTTCCTTCACCACTATGGCTGGCATGGGGCTGTTTTGGATTTGTGCTGAACTGAGTGTTGGTAATATGGAGATGTTTTTGTTATGGCTCAGCAGTGCTTAGACAGAGTTGAGGCCTTTTGTGCTTTTTGTACTGCCACGCCGGCGAGGAGGCTGGGGGTGCACTGGAAGTTCGGAGGAGACACAACAAGATCAGGTGACCCCAAACGGACCAAAGGGATATTTCACACCGTGTGACATCGTGCTCAGTATATAAAGTGGAGGAAAGAAGAACAAAGAGGGGGGTCGTTTGGACTGCTGGCATTTGTAAAGTAAACACTGCGTGCCAGGGGGTCCTGCTCTCCTGCAGAAGGCTGAACGCCTGCCTACCCACGGGAACCACTGAATTAATTCCCTGCCTCGCTTTGCTTGTGCGCACGTGTTTTGCTTTCCCTGTTAAACTGCGAATCAACGCAGTTTTCTGGGCTTTACCCTCCCGATTTTCTACTCGATCCTTTTGGCGGCTGAGTGAGTGAGTGAGCGGCTGCGTGGCACTCGCTTGCTGGCCGCAGCCACAGCCCCGCACCCCGGGAACGCGCTCCCTTGAAGGAGCGCCCTCAGCTCCCCCGGCACAGCGCGGAGGGAGCGGCCCGGGCAGCGCCCGCGGCAAGAGCCGCGCCGCCCCTCCCGCCCGGCCCTGATTGGCTGCGGCCGCGCTGAAAAGGGCCCCGATTGGGCGGCTGCTTTGGCGCGCGAGGGGCTCCGTGAGGCCGCGTGTTCGCCGTCGGCGCTCGGCCGGGCCCGGCTGGGAGTGTCCCTGCGCGGTACGTCCCGCTCCGCCACCCCCTCGGGGCAGGGGGGGGGAAGAAAAAAAGGGGAAAAAAAAAAAAAGCGATAAGAGCGGGAAAGGAGGAAAAGAGGGTAAGACAGTAGGAAAGGGGAGGCGAAGACGGCAAAGGTGCTCGGGTCTAAGTAAATCTAGAAGGGCAAGCCAAGTGGCCAGATAGCAGCAGTCCTTAGGGACAAGAGCTGGGGCTAGCAGACGCGGTGGGTTGAGGGCAGGGCGTGGTTCTGCACCGTGGAGATGCTGCGGTAAGAAGTCACCCTTCGGGGCATACGTGCTCGGGGAAGGAGGTTTGAACACCAGGAGTGGTAAGTTTGGGGTGGAGGAGCTGAGTAGTGCGAGGCAGACCACTCTTCTGTTGCGGTGTTGCGTTTAAAAGATCTCCTCCTCAAGAAAAAACTAGCGTATGTATGCCTTTATGATTGTTGTGTCCGTCTCTTTCCTTTTGCACCTTGCAAAGTGATGTGAATCTGTAATGCTGGCTCAAGTGATGAACTCGGTTATGTTATAGAGAATTTGTCGCGCTTTTTTCCCCCCCCCAAAGTCAGACGCCATGAATAGAAAGAAAGAATTCTGCTCGTTGGATGACAGTAATAAAGAACTTAAGAGAAGAAAAATGAAAACTGTGAGGTATGTGAGTTTTTGAGATTAGTGGCTTTAAAAGTTCTGACTGTACATTTGTCAGAAACTAGAATTGAGAAAATGCAGAAAATAATGGTTGTATTTTGCAGAATTGGAAGTGAGTCTTTTTTTTTTTAATGTATGTGAGTAAACTGCACAGGTTGTGAAAAGTTTTGGCATTTGTAGTAGGTTCACGGGAAAAAAAAAAAATTTTAGTTGCAACTTGTTGAATAACGACTTATTAGGCTACTAATGCATCACACTGATCTGAATGTATTTTTACAAGTAATTAAATCGCTGTTAATCTATTCAGTATATTTTTAGTTAAATAATTACGATGATTATAATTAAAACTGATTGTATTTATTAGCGCTGTTTCTAGTTATTTGAAATACCAGATACAGAGAAGCTGTAGTACTACTTTTATGTATAATGAATTCAGTATCATAGAGCTAAAGTACCTCTCCAGTTAAGACGATAAAAAATTTATTGCTGTGTGATGTGTGTGTGTTTGGTTAACTGCACTTTCTTCATAATGCCTTTTGGTAAAAGTGGGCAAGCTTAGTTCTAAGAGAGCTGAAAGTCAAAATTCTTTTTTCATTGATATCCCTGATCTTAAATCTTTGCTTTTACCTCTGAAGGCAATCTCCTAAGCTATTAGAAGAGGATTTTACAGAACCAAATCAGACAAACAGTGATTTGTGCCATTTGTCAAAAGCTCTGAATGTGGAAGGTGAGGCTTTTGGAGCTTTCGTTTCCAGCAGGCTTTTTGTATGCACTGTTTACTATTATTTTGCATTTTAAGTGGTCTGTTAAGGGCAGAAGATGTGCTGCCACATTTGAATAACACATTGTTTATTTAATGAATTTCAGGTAGTTAAGAAGAACAATCAATGCCTTTTGCTTCCTCTCCTGCTATTTTTCTGGACAAAGCTCTTGACAAGTTTGTTCTAAAGCAAACCTAATTTTTGTGGAATTTTGTGCATGAGTAGCTTTTTTCCAAAATTTTGTTGAGTACATAGTATTTATGTGTGCTTTATGAAACAATTTTTTTCTTCTACCTTAGGCACACTTTTTAAATGTGTGATTTCTTTTTGCCTCCTTTGTGCTTAACCTGTCCTGAATGTAGCAGCAACATAATACAGCTAATGATGCAGATAATACCCTAATCATTACATGCAACTCAGGCTTGTAATTCCCAGATAGTTTCTGTATCTGTATATCTGGAGTTTTATTCCTAGCTTTCAAATTCTGTCAGTAAAAAAGTCAGTGCTCTGATTCCTGTTGACTTGATGAATGCTATCTAGGAGACTACTCCTGCGATCGTGTATTCATGTTACCTCATGGATTAGGATGCCCTGTGCTTGCTTTTACAGCATTGCATGGTGATGTGAAGGATGAAGACACTGATTTTTTTTGCTTCTCTTCTACAGAAGTAAGTTGATCTAAAGCTTTCTGTTCAGTAGTCACTGTGGCGGTTTGAAATAGTGATGTTACAGGATCTTGAGTGTGATTAAAGTAAGCTCAGGTGCCCTCTGAGCTAAGGGTCTGCACTCTGACCACCTACTTGCCCAGCATTTCTCGTTGTGCAGTGGTGTTGTGTAGTGCACATGGGACGTCCAAAGCCTGGCTTTAGGAAGGTGTTTTTTCATATTTCTAATTAGTGCCCCATGTTGCCATCTCTGTTCCACCCTCTTGTCTGCACACAATGTACGAGAAAGCAGCTGATGCATATGAACACTTCATCAGCTCCCACATAAAGATTTCTTTTAAAGAAAATACAGTTTCACTCTGCCCAGGAATACGTGAGTTATGAATGTATTTCTGTTTCTACATTGAAAAAATGTAGAGTGAGTCTGTGTTAGAAATAAAATGCATGTGAGTCTATGTGATAACATGCTAATGCCATTTGTTTCACAGAAATCTGTATTTTGGACAAATAGTAGGTGCTTTTTTTTTTAAAATTTATGCAAAAGCTAGAGTGTGGCCAGAATTTTTGGTTTAGGAAATTCAGATTTAACATTTATTGCAAAATACAGATGAGTCAAATCTCTGGCATTTAAACCCTGCAGTTAAACTTTATTGCAAAAGTCATTTCTAGAGTCTGGTTCAGTAATGCAATATTACAAATTTTGCATACTAGTGGGTAAAATACTAAGAGCAAACAGGAAATCGAGATTCCTTTTACTAGGAGTGCTTTTTATTTATAACAGAGGTGCACTTAATGGCTGCAGAACTTGTGCTTGGAAGCTCTTTCCTTAGATCTCCCCTTGCACAATTTAATAGCTCTTGTTTTGAAGATTGATCTAAGTGAAATAGGGGGCAGGGATGGGTACTGAAGGCGAAAGCAGGTTTATAGAGCATTTTTTCCTGGGACTTGACTGTAACCCTGTATTTGAACTTGCTACCTTTTTCTCTTTGAATCTAGACCAGAACTTACTTTAAATTTGGGCTTTGTGGTGGCAACTCAGAAACAGCAGCAAGGTAAACCTTTATTAAACTTTTTTTATGTATTTAGCTGTCAGACTGTGAGGCGACTTGACCAGGTAAACATTTCTCGACGTTTTTGTTGGGCTCAATTTTTTTTTTTATGTTCTTTAAACTTTACTAATGTGTACTCAGCATGGTTGTCTAATTCTATGGGAGCACATTGAGTACAAATACGGTTTCATTGAGAGGCAACAAGAAACAAATTGGTTTGGCTTGAAAACGTGTGAAAACTTTAAGCACCGTGGTAAATCGTTGATAAGTGTTCAGCGGGAGAGAAATGCCGGGCTGTGGTAGCAATGACTGTAGCATTAAAACGCCTCCTTCCCCCGCCCCCTACTGATACCACTGCACCTTCTGCTTAGGTAACCAGTCACAACTATAAAAAGATCGATGCCAGCGATGTTTTGTTGTGGTGTCATGTCTAAAGTACATTCACTTGCTTAATTGTCGAGTCGATGTGAACCTGAAAGAGGTCTTAAACCGGGTGTCTTTCCCTCCACTGCTATTGCTGTGGACACTAATGTTTGTACAACAGAGGATAGTCCCAAATAATGCTTTCAGATGTGTTCCATAAAGGACCTGTTCTGAAAGGAGGATGTAGGAAACTTAGAAGATAAGTTTGACACACGAAACGTGCATTGCTAACCTTGCCCAAAGTGGAATAGAAACTCAGGATTTCATATATGGCTGTTGACCTCTGCAGCAGTGCTCTCAAGATCTTAGCCTGTCAGAAGGGACGAAATGAACACAGGAAGAACAACACAATGCTTCCTTCCTGGAATGAGGCTGCTTTTATGTTTTTGTGCAAGTCTTGTCAGCTGTTGCAGAAGAGCAAGCATGGGTGATCATACAACTGAATTTAATAGCCTTCCTAAGAGGTTGCCAGTAGATGGTTTTGATATCATGTCGTATATTCCAAAGATTTTAACAGCACAATCGCTATCTGAGAAGAAAAGGTTTGGGCAACAAATGAGAAATTAATCCTGGAACGTCAATAGATGTGGAATTACTCTCACTGAGGATAAGAATCGCTACTAACTATTAAAGTTTTGTTTAGCCCTGCATAAAATTGTAAAATGAAAAATAGTTACTTTTAAGAGGATTCTAGTAGCAAATTTTTTGAGAAGTGCGATATCTGCTGAATATCAGTGTCAGTTTAAACTGTTTCAAAAACAGGTGTGAATGTATTTAATGACAAATTTTGAAATACTCATGTGTGTAAAGTATTTATACAAAGTTTGATATTTTATTTAAAATGCGTAGTTTTTTTCCTTAAAGGATTTTGGTTTGCAGGCCCTTCAGTCACAGTACTGAAGAGAAAACCGTTCATCGCCTGTTTTCTTCAAATTATGGGCTGAGAGATGAACCAGCTCCAACTCCATCAGCTGACATGGTGCGTTAACGCAGAATTTCCTTATATTCTCACTGGGTTTTGTGTATGCGTGGTTAATACTGCACTTCTTAAAGCACAAACCTCTGCCACCTTTAATAGTTTATGTGCTATTATTCCATCTTGTCATTGAACTGATGTGCAACTACAGTGTTAAATAACTTGACAAAATGAGTGCAGCTCAAATCTCTGAGTGGGATCCTAGCTGAAGAGTGTTAGTTGTATTCAGCTGGCTGTGAAAATATGTGTTTTGAATGTGGCTTTTCTTATGGTGTCCCATGCTTTACAATATTGGGTTTGGGACTTCTTTTTTAGTGTTTGAGATGACTGCATGGCTCATGCATACCTCCTTAGAGCAGTATTTCAGGGCAAAAAGGTTGTTGAATGAAGGTATCTTTTTAAACATTCTATTAAATTTCCTAACCTGATCTTTCTGAATGAAGTTTTAGGCCAGGGGAGCTAATGTTGTGGATATTTTAAAATTACAAGAGTAAACGGGAAAGGAATGATATATCCAATGCCAGTCATATTTTCTTCTGTGGAGGTTGTCCTCTACACTGATCTTGAAAGAATCATAACTTGCAGATGTCTGTCATGGTTTCTTAGGTGGTTTTGTTGTAGTGCCCATTAAAGTTTGAAAACGGTTGTCTTGCATCAGCATAGTACTGGGTGCTTACTATGGTTTTGGTTTGGGTTTTTTTCCCCAAATGATATTCCTTAACATTTTACTTTTTCCTAGACTGCAGTATTCCCATTCTTCAGTCTTCCATGTTTTTTGTCCTCTGTATTATAACTTTATTTTGCATTTCTTTTATGTACCTGTCATTTTGTGTGTGATTACACAAGTAAATTATGTGTATTTAGAACACAGCTCTAGAACCTGTTTTGTAAATACTATAATGTAAATATTCTCAGTGAAATTCAGGTGCACTAAGTATTTTGGGCTTGTTGGTGACTATAGGCTTGCTCAGAGTATTAACATGCATCTGTCATCCACAAATGCCTCTATGAGAATGGCAAATGGTTACAGACCATCTTGTCTTTTAGTCATACGAGCAACTTTGTGTTCATTAGCAAATCTTTCCTCAGGAGAACACTGGACAAGATATTGAGGAAGCTTTGTGTATAGCTGTTTGTAATCTTGGCCACTTCCATGAAGCAGACAAGGTGGGTGAAAATCAAATAAATCATGAAATAGGTAATCATATCCTTTATTGAAGGATGTTGTTACGAGTAGGCACACTTCAACATGCTATTTAAATGTGCTTTTACTGCTTTTGTTCTGGTATCTCTTTAGTCCTTCAACTGTTCATGCTATTTCTGTGAATATACAGCCCTAAACTCCAAGCTTCAGCCTGGAGGAGTAGTCTGTAAAGGAGTACACAAGGTAATTTAAAGTTAATAGGTCAATACAAATATTTAGCAGAACCACATGAAACCAGTCTTTAAATACTAAGTCTGTATTTCCTCGGATCAGGGTAAAATTCGGCATTTGGGTTTGCTCTAACAACTATGCTAACTTTCTACTTTGCTTTTTTCTGGATTTAAAGGCAGAAAAGAAATTATAGGGCAACAGGAATAAAAAAGGTAACGGGCAGAATATGCAAAAACATGTAAATCAAGTAATACATTTTTAGCACAGTATAAAACATAGGAAGAATCCTGAAATACCAGATAATGCTGTTACTAGATTTAGAGTCACTTTTGAACTTCATTAATGATAATTATTTCAACTTTAACTCATATTAAATGTGCTGTAGAAAAACTTGCAGTTCTGTCTTTGTCACTTATTTACATTTTATTTGTATTGTAAGAGACATGGGTATATGTAAGTATTTAATGATTCAAAAGCTTCATTCTAGGAATCATGTTTTAAAAACCTGTTCTCCGTTCCCTTTCTAACTTACTTTGTTGCAGTGGCCAGTCTGTCTGTTAAACAAAGCTATGTTGAATTCCTACTGATACACTAATAGAATCTTGTAAAAATGTACCATTTCAGCGGCTTTAGTATATAGAACTCAAGAGCGCAACAGTGGTCTTGAAACAGCTTTTCAACAAAGATTGGAATTGCCAAAGCAGTGTTGCATATTTTTTTCCGTAGTCTCTTCATTAAATGTAACTATAGTGACAAAACTGATGTTTAGCCAGAGGAGGAGTTTATTTTCACTTTATGCTCACAGCGAGCTTTAAAAAACAGTAGAAATCTCAGCATGCTGGTTTTCTGTGTTTGGTGCTATGCTGGAATGTCAAGTAAGGAAAGTGAGGCAGTGGGCCCAAGATCTGCCTGTTTCTTGCCTCATATAGACTGAAGTGGTTCAGTTGAGGAGGTTCCAAACAGTGTCAGGTAACTTGAAATCAGAGAAAACAAAGAGCTGTAATGGGCTGTAAGTGGTTTAAGTGTCACTCTTTCTGTGGAGTATTGATTACCCTCTTACTGTTCATTACTTCTGTTCTGAATTTTAAAAAAAGTCGTGTGAGAATAAAGTCATGAATAATGAAATAATAAATGCATGTTTCTTCATACCAAACAAAATAGATGCTGGAATGCTTGGAGCTGAAAATGAAGCACGAAAGAGACAAAGTTACAGAAGCTGCAGATAAAACTCTTGATGAACTTATTACTCTCCTCTCAAGGTAGTAATTTAGTTTTGTAGTTTAGCACGGGTGAGCTACTTTTATTAAGAACTTGTTTCTAATTCAGGTAGAAGAATTCTTAACAAAATTTTAGTCTCTTGTAGCATTATTTCATAAAACCTGTGTTTTAATTTTTGCGCAGTGTTTTTGCCCTTTCGTTGTGGCATCTTGAAGGTGGTTTGCATGGTTGGAAAACACTAACTTATGCAGCCTCTACTCTTTAAGAAAAAATAGTCATAATGTTAATTTTCTTTAAAAGCTCCATTTTGAAGGTATTTTTAATACCGTCATTAGTGGAGGATCAGTTTAACAGCAGGAATAACTTTGGTTTTTTCAGTTAACTTTCTGCAAATTTTCAAGCTGCTAGAAACCCAGGGACACTTCATTTTCTTATTTTCAAAAATATTTGTATTTTCAGATTTAAGGGAGAGAGACACGTCAAAGCTTAGGTTATTAAAAGAGCCTCTGAGTGGGGGATCTGGCTGAATGTGTTTGGAAATATCAGGAGGCTTAAATGGGAGAGTACTTCTAACATTTGATAAAAAAAATATTTCTCTAAAAAAGTGACTTTTCAGTGTAAACTCTTTTGTGATTCCTCCAGTTATGGAGAATGTGTCCCATGCTTCTGCTTGGGGAAGATGATCTGGTATGTGAGATGTATCCGCTTTGTGGTATGATTGGTAGTTGTGTATTACAATTTGTTTGAATCTGTACAGCTGAATGCATATTAAATTCTGAAAAGTAATGTTTTTAATACAGGAGAAGGAAATTGTTTGCAGAATTGATGGAGAACATCAACAGCTACAGTGCTAGTATTGCAAAAGCCAAAGAAGTCATTGAAGAGAAAAAAAAGCACTTGATTCGTGCCATTAGGACTGCAAAGGAATTAAAATTCTCACATTTTCGAAGAAACTGTTGTGATCTCTCTAAGGTACTTACATTCTTGTACTGCAAAATAATTTATTTTCAAGGAATACATTCAAAATTGTATTGAAAGTTTCTGTGATCCTGGTTTGCTGACTTCAATACTGATGTTTTTGCAGTATTGTATTCTTACCCCACCTTTACACATCTGGTGACTGATGTGATGCAAGAAAGGTGGTTCTTGCCTTGTGAAGAGTATGCTGTCTGAAACAACAGATGGAGGGGGAAGACAGGAACACTGTGACACAGTACTGATCAGTGAAAGGGTGATGTTTTCATCACTTCAGAAGTCTGTCAAATCTTTTCCATTCCAGAGCTCTCGAATCTTCTCACAGAACTGCTCCAGAATTAATAGCCACACTCTCCTGACCCTCTTGGTCCCAGGCCTTTACTTTCATTCCTCCTCCCCATCATATCTGCTGTTCATAGAAGCCTGTGCTACCTGCCATGCTGTATCAGACCAAAGATCTGTCCTGTGAAGTCTCCTGTCTCTGACAACAAAGAGGAAAAAAATGCTGGGGGAAGCATCTAAGAAAACTGGGCATTTAGTGAGTATAGGAAGTTGAAGGTTAACAATTTTAGAATCACCAAGATACATCAGGGTCATTACACTGAACAGATATTACCACCTTCTGTCCTAAGCTTGCGTAGTACTTTCTTGAATGTCTTTGTAAAGCTTGTGGCAGTGTGCATGAGTGTGTACATACGTGCATTATATTATATGTATGTGTTCATATGTGGCAGTGAGATCCACATTTTACTATTTAAAATGAGGTGTACATAAAATAGCTCCCTCTGTTCTTTCAAAATGTGCCACCCAGTTCTTTCATTTGGAACCTTTATAGCTCTTGTGTTGAGAGAAGGAAGGAATAATTGGTTTCAACGTTCTTCTTGAAAGTGTGCTTTTCAAAGTCATGTGCCCTGCATCCATTCATCATTTTCCATATGAAGAAACTGACTCATCTGACACAGAAGTCTAATCCCTTCTTTTTTTTTTTTTTTTTCCTGTCATTTGCTTCCATCTTACCCAGTGTGATCTTTTTGGAACTGGCACCCACCACTGTCTTCTTACTTAGAAATCACTTTCTTCCTGTTTGAAACAAAAGGGGTGTCTGATTTCTACTTGTGCTTACGTGCTAGCATTACAGAATAACAGCCATTAGTTCTTAGCAAGGTAAGAACTATTTGAGAGTTGTCTATCAGCTAAACCGTTTGGTTTTTTTCCGTAAAATTTAAGGTGTCGTGTTCTGGCTTTGTCATGGTGTACATCATGGGAACCTATGTAACCTGCTTTCTGTATAATGGAACCTAAGATTGTATTTCTTAATTTCAGGTTATTTATGACTTAAAGTTGCCAGTTGAGGCTGAGCTCTCAAGAGTGAAGAGTTTGAAGGAAAAAATATTTTCAAGGTAAATGACTGAAGTAGGAGATATTGGGATGTACTAGTTATGTTAATTACAAAAAATATTCATGTAACAGCTAAACAGCAGAGATTGAGCTTCTTCACTTGGAGTTTACTGAAAAACTACTACTTCAGACATCAGTATGAACTCCTCACTAACTATGCAATAGCCTTCATCTGAGGCATCAGGGAGAAAGCATGTATGATTTGCTGCCATGTAAACAAATACACATGCATTTTAAAACTTCTTGACATATTTCTGCCACTTTAAAAAAACTTTCTCCTTCCATTATAAGTAGAAATAAATTGGGGGAATAACAGCTTTTTTTTCTTTTAAGTACTCAATTTCTGACCTTTAAGAAACATTTATATGCTTTTTTTGGGGTACTGATGTCTGAAGAAATCTCTGAAAAATCCCAGTTGCCATGCAGACCTCCCTGGAAGTGACAGATATTTCTGTTCCAGCACTGAGGAAGAAAATAGGTCATGGCTGTGGTACACCTGACCCTAGGCAACTTTTGATCGTAAGACTGGTCAGAGTGCTGCATTAAAGTCCACATTTGCAAACAGTGAAGGAGGGACAGAACAAAGATTGTGCTAGTTTGGAACATCTTTGGGATCCTGTTCCATGTCAGGACATGGAATCACTCTGGGGAATAGAGTGAGGATGTGCCATCAGATTCTGACTGGCACAGGGAAATGTAGCTCAAAGTTGATTACTTGCATGCATGAGCAATTATTGTACAATCCTGGAATCATTTAGGTTGGAAAAGACACATAAGATCGGTGAGTCCAACCATTAACCTAACCAAACCAAGTTCACCTTTACTGTGTTGCTGAGTATAAGGTCTACATGTCTTTTAAATCACGGAATGGTTTGGGTTGGAAGGGGCCTTTGAAGGTCATGTAGTCCAAAACTCCAGCAAGCAAAGACATCCTCAATGGGATCATGTTGCTCAGAGCCCCATCCAGCTTGACCTTGAACCTTTCCAGGGATGTGGCACCTACCACCTTTCTGGGCAACCTGTTCCAGTGTTTACCCACTCTTGCTGTAAAAAAACTTCACATCTGGTATGAATCTGCGCTGTCTTAGTTTAAAACAGTTACCCTTCTCTGACTGCAACAGCCCCCATCAGAAAATCTGTGTGATCCTTTCTGGAAGGTGCTATAAGGTCTTCCCCAGTACCCTCTCCTCTCCAGGCTGAAGATCCCCAGCTCTCCTAGTCAAATGCCTCTAGGGATGGTGACTCAACCACTTCTCTGGGCAGCTTTTTCCAATGCTAGACAAAAATTAGGATGACTTCTATCACCTTGAGTTCTTCAGTTAGCATGTGGATAAAGAAGTCTTGAAAATGGTCTTCTACCAAACTTAGGCCCAACCTACCAAGTCACTACTTTAAAGACAATGTCATTGATGAATCCAAATTTCACAGGAGTCTATTGCAATGCACAAGGGCAGCCTCTCCCAACTTAGAAGAAAACTAAAATGTTGCAGAACCAAAAGTAGGTGCATTCCTGAAAGGGTGGTGAGAGGGAAGCACAGGTGGATGTTCGGTACTGTTTACAATTCAGTTTTCATAAGCTATCAGTTTTTAAAACTGGATGACCAAGCTAAGGATTTGAGTGAAATTATATTTACAATTCTATTAGCCTAAATGTAAAGGCTTGAGCACTTTTCACTGCTAAAGAAAATAGTTAATAGTGTAACAATAAAGAGAAACATACATTTTGGACTTTAGTTACAGTTTCATTCAGGAAGAAAAGAAAATTCTTTCTCTCTGTGCAGAATAATTATTGAACCAAACTGAGTACAAGTATGAAAACAGTAAGTGAATGTTGCAGTACTTTGTGCATGAGGGAGAATGCAAAAGGCAAGAGAATTTTTAAGTACGAATGGGAAGATAAATGAGCAGCCAAATCTGTTCTTCACAGGAGTGGAAGAAATGCAACAGACTATGTAATTAATATCTTTCTGTGCTGAAAAATACCATGTCTCAAACTGTCAGAGTGATTTAGGTATTCATGTCACCTTCTATAATACTTATTCTCTTCTCTTGAGCCTGTTCCTGAACAGTGACGAGATTATATCCTCGCTAGAAAACTTGGGCAAGATTAAATGGGGAATGACAGAAAAGTAAGTATTTTTCTTATAAAAGAGGATATGTACGGTAACTTACCTGTTCTTCTACTGGTCAAGTATTTATTGGAGATTAAATTAAAAAATTGTATATGCTTATGGAATTCTAAGAGTATACTGAATCAAAGTGAAACTTTATACGCTTAGGTCAGCATTCCATTTAGTCCAATTTGTGTTTCAGTTCTGTCACTTTGGTTTTGGTGTTTCACCCAAGTATATTTTGCTGTATCACTTAAGTTATCCAGATTTTTTTTATACTGAGTACTCTTCAACTTTGCTTGGCATGTAATGATACAATCATAGAATCACTTAAGTTGGAAAAGACCCTTAAGATGATGGAGTCCACCTGTAAACCTAACAATGCCAAGGCAACTGCTAAACTGTGTCCCAAAGTGTCGTGTTCTACATGTTCATAATATGTGTAATAGAGATGTTTATCACTTAAGCATATGAAAATTCTTTCATGTAAATGTAAACAAATCTCTTAAATTAACAGCCAATACTGAAATTGTAATATCTTCAGTTTACAGTCTAAATTGCTTTTATTTTATTAGTCCCCTTTATTTTTTTTTGTCTGACAAAAACTTGAGAAAATAGAACAATTGCTGTGAGAGCAGTTGTAGATAAAACTGACTATATTAAGAAAGGATTATTGCATACTGTAATATTTGAAAGTTCTACAGATCAGGATGAAGAGTGTACACTGTTAACATTTTTTCAAATAGTTTGTATTTGTACTTGTGCGTTCTGATCATCTAAGCAGGGCTAGCTCGTGCACTTGAACTGTGCCCAACAGTGTGTGCTGTGTCTGTGCCAATTCTTTTTAGGTTTCAGAAAGCATGTCACTCTTTGTTATCTTGGTATTCAAAAACTTAAAATGGTTTATTCTTAGCTCTTATGAGGTGTTTTCTTGACATAGTGATGCGTTCTTGATAAAACTTCTGCTTTGACTCGTGCTTTTCTGGAAAAAGACTGAATTATATTAATTTGTCTTTAAATAAAATTTTTCTCAAATACAGTGAAGATAATGGACAAGACACATTTATCCTCGGTGACCAAGAAGAAGTGCCTGATGTCATAATAGAGGAAATACTTGAAGATGACTTGGAAGGCAAGGTTTTTTTGTACCTGATGCTTTCAATGTTCCACTGCCAAGCATGATGTTATTTTTGTGTCTTGTATTATTTTGTGTGTTTGTAGTTACATTTGGTTCATACAAATGCTTTAATGATGTCTATTTAAGTTCCTTTGAGCTAGCACTTTTTTTTTTTTTTGTCCTGTTTAGCTTAGTGAAAATTTTGTCACAGCTTCTCTCAGAGGGGTCATGAGTTCAGTATCTGCCTTGATGATTTTTTTTTTTTCTTTTTTTTGACTTGTGGTTGTTGCAGTCACCCTCAGAGTTTCTGATATTGGCTCCAGGAGAATTCTTTTCTGTCAATTGCCTCAGCTTACTGAATCTTTTCCCAGGCCATTGTCCTACTTTAGCTGTGAGTAACAAATAGGTTCCTCAGCTTGTCAGATTTTTCCCTGGACTGTACTACTTAGAGTGTAGCTAACAGGTCCATGGAGGGATCTTTCCCCTCTGTTAGGCTCTTGGGAGACTGAATCTGGAGTGCTGTGCCCAGTATTGGACCCTGCAGTACTGAAAAATCACTGTCCTACTAGAATGAGTCCAGCAGAGCCTACCAAGCTGATGTCCAGGAAGTGCTCAGGGTCTTAGAGGTCTTTTCCAACCGTAATGATTTCATGATTCTACATGTAAGATGAGATAGGTGACTCATCACATCATCAGAGATGGTGACCATGGGTGATCCAGAGCAGCTTGTGCACCTGTTGGTGAAATCGTTCAAGTCATTCAGACGTTTTATTCAGATACCATCTTACCTAGTAGAAATGCCCAGGAGTGATCTTGCGTCTGTTCTGAAGGATGCATTTCCTAAACTTGGAAGCACAGTCCTACATACCCGCTCAGAGTGTTTCAGGTGCCGCACTCTTTACACTCTTTATAGTCCTTCATACTCTTTATATTTCTTTGCCTGTGATCTGTTAGAGTTCAGAGATGAGTGCAGAGGTGGCATTGCTTGAGGATGCTACAGGTCTGTGTGTCTGGTGTGCTCTGGTCAGTCATGCAGCTGATGTGGAATTTAGATGATGATGTCCACCCTTTGCAGGAAGCTTTGTGGTGTAAAATACTCCTGTAAGAATTGGGTTGCTGGCTTCTAAAACCCTCTGACCCATTAACAACCTTTGAGTAGCTTCAGAAAGAGAAACTTGCCTTTTGTATCACCAGTGGATGGAGGTACCTCCAGTACAAAGGATTTGGATGCTTAGTTACAAGTACTGTCTTACATAGGGTCATCTCTTCGCTAGCTTTGGACCATTCCTTTATCTTCATGCATTAACACTGATTAACTGTACAAAAGTATATATACCTATTCTTAAAGATAGGAGTCTTAATCTCTAATTTGCTTTCTAGAAACTTCCTAATTCTCTGTTGGAATACAGACTCTGAATTACCTACTTAAATTCAGGCTGCCAGTTTGTGAGCAGTGACACAAGCCTTTTGTTTTGCAGGGTAGTATTAGGGAGGTAGTTCAAAAGAGCATTTTCATCAGAAAGCAAACATGTTAATAGTTTGAAACAAGTGTGAGCAAGCTTGTCTGATTAAAATCTATTTGAGGTGATGTTATGATTAATATAGCATCAACCAAATCATATGTCTGATAGTATCTGTTGGAGTCACTTGGAGGGTGTTTGATAACTTGTTTTATGTCTTGCTCAGGTTTGACAGAATTGGTGTTGGTAAGCCATGTTATAAATCCCAGCCATTTCTATGTTCGGAGATACTCACAGAGGAAAGAAGCTTTGGCTTTGGAGAAGAAATTGGAAAACTTCTGTTGTAATAAGAGTTCTTACCTCTTACCTTCAGACACTTTGGAACTAGGTAAACAGTTAATTTTTAAAAGTCTTTATGGCTTAAAATACTACCCAACAATATGCATTCCTTAATATCATGCTCCTTTTTTCTCTCCTCTCCCCTGCCCCTTTATATAGTAAAGCAGTTCTTATATGTTCTGGAATCTACAATTAATTGTTTTATAGAAGCATTGTACAGGTGATTTGATAAAGTAGGCTTTTATTAAAACCTATAAATAAAGCCAGTAGAATTAAAGAAGACTCCAGTTCTCAACCTCAGTAGACTGAGTGCGTTGAGTAACAAGAGCAGTTGAAACACCTGGCTGCCAACTTCATGTTTTCCAGCATTAGGTGGTAATGGTTAACTGATAGCTTTTTCAGCTTGTAATGATGAGCCTAGTTCTTTAATTATCTCAGTAAATCAGCTTTCTATCATTCAAGAAACATCCCCTTCTTAGTGGATAGATTTTTTTTTTTTAAATTCGCTGAATAGAAACCATTCTAGAAGTAAAAATACAAGGTAATAATACATTGCTAAATCACTAAAATTATTTTCTAACCCACATAATGATAATGTTGCCTGCTTCTAGAATATGTTTAGAGAACTGATTAAAAGTATGTGATAACCTTATATATTTTTGGCACTTTACTTAGAGGTAAAGAAAGCTTGCCAGTAATGACTTCTTAATAGAAGCCAAACACTTCCTGGCCTTACAGACACTGTAAATGAAGGGGGGGGGGAATTTCTAGTGGCTGTTGAGACTAGGTTTTTACTATCTGTTTGTATTTTAACAACGGCACTTTTACTATGTGTGTGGAGGATGGGAACAATGGAACATTATGCATAACTGTAATAATAGTTCTAGTGTGAAATACTTAATTCTGAATTTAGCCGTTTTTATTTGCTTCCATATAGGTGCTAGAATTTTTATTAAGAGCAAGGAAACTGGAATGTGGTGCCGTGGAACTATCACTGAACTAACTCCCCTAGAAAGTAAAAATCAGAGGAAGCCTTGTGGTCCAATAATATACAAAGTGTGTGATGTTGCATTGCTGAAAGTATTCCTGATTGATGTTGGAAGCTCTGTAGTTCTAACTTTCTCAGGGTATGTTTCCAGAGAGAGGTTTTTGTCTGCAGTTGTTGTCCTTAACTGTTGTTACTCAAGAAGATCTCTACTGAGAAAGTCCTTCCTCAGCTTCTCACAGATAACCAGATACCCAAATGACATTAATATTCTCTACATGCGAATTTTCCACAGAAAAAGTGGCAGTGTATTTAAGTACACAAGTGTACAAGCCTTCATAGGTTGAAATATTTAACTTAAACTTGTGTTGTAAAAGAGAGCACGTGAGTCTTCAATGCTTAAAAAAGAAAAAAGAATTATTGAGACTTTCTAGTTTGTTTCATTGACATAACATTATGCCAAGTACTGCAATAATGACCTCTGTTGTAAGTCTGGGGTTTGGTTTGGGGCTTTTCAGGTATTGGGTTTGGTTTTTTAAGTTAGTACTTCATTTATTCCCATTGACATTAGGTATGATCCCAGTGAAAGGCCTGATCCTGCTGCTCTGCAGACTATTGAAACAGATGACATTTGTCTGTTTGTAAGGAAGTCTGATCAGCGTATTGAGGCAGAACTTGCAACTATTCCTCCTTTAGCAGTACGGTGTTCACTGAAGGATGTTGTTCCCAAAAATACAGTAAGTACAAGCCGCTTGAAATATTTCAGGAGCCTTTTTCCTTAAGATTTATACTAAAGAACTTTAATGTGTAATTTAAAATTACCTTATTTCACTTTAAACAGAATTAAATTTAAGAGTACAGATGTAAATAGATAGGTTGCATTGCTTCCATTGGAAAGGAAACAAGGTTATAGCAGTCTGTCTTAAAAAGCCTCTAGGTTTACAAATACATATTTATATTTGCTTAAATCTCACTGCTCTTTAGACATGTTCTTTTGTCAAAAATAAAAACAAATTTCAAAACTGATACTTTTATTTCATATCTACCTGATAATATTATGCAAGTAGTAATTTTCAGAAATCACCCAGAGAGGAAATGGCTTCAGAGTATTTAAGAGAGTCTTTTCAGGGATTGTCCTTTTCTTAATTAAAATTTTTTGCCTCATACTTAGAAGGATTTGTTCTCTTCCAGTATAATAACAAGTAAAGTACTGTCAACCTTTATTCTATTACAAAGAAAGGGATGTATGTTGCAGCATTATTTTCTTCAGTATTCACTTTTTATTAGGTTTCCTTTATTTTTGCCACATTCACATGGGAAGGAACTATGTCCAATGCAGCTGTGTAGTTCTGACAGTATCGCTGCTGGTCAGTTTGATTGTTGTGGGTTTTTTTTGTTTTTTTTTTTTTTTTTTACCAGTGTATTGTTGACTGAAATAACTTTAATAGGAAAGATCTGAAACAGTTTTCACAAGTGTGGATAAAATGCTTTCCTTATATGTGCTTTCATTTTCTTCACACCTAAAAGTCACAGATTTGTGGTATCAAATGAGAAATGCATTGACTTGATCCCAGAGAAATAAATTCCGACAGGCTTTGGGGTAGACAAAACATCATACAAGATGTTGTGGAGAGGAGGAATGTGTAAATTGCCCAAACTCTGTTGTAAATTTATGTAAAGACGTAAGATAATAAACTTTCACAGGAATTGGGAGAGCAGAAATACAAGTCATGAAATGAAAGAGCATGAGACACCTCTAGTTGATCTATCAGAACAATCAGAGGGGATGAAAACTCAAATCTTAGGAAGAAATATGCTGGGAACTGCAGCCCTTTGATGTGACTCAGTTTCATACAGTTAAATACACTTATTAATCCATCATAAAGAATTCTAGTTAGTGCTGTCCTGACTACAGACTAGACAGTCTTGTGTTCAGTATTTCATCCATGCCTTCTTACTTTTATTTTAATTACCGTTTATATTTTTTGTTTTAGCATTTTCTGACATGTATACAACTTTTTCTAACACAGGGTGAAGGTTGGGGAGAGGAAGCAAAGAAAAAATTTTTAGAACTGGTAAATAATAAAATTGTTTCCATGATCATATTTAGAGAAGAGGATGGTGTTCTCATTGTGGATTTGAGAAAACCTCCATTCAGTGAAACAAGCAGTAACATACCAGCGTCTCTCAAGGATGCATTAGTTTTCTTAGATTTGGCAAGGTACGTGTTTTCCTTTAGTTTATCCTCCTGTGCCATAACTGATAATGGAATAATACTTGCGAAGTGAAGCACGCAGAGAAAGGTCATTGTTTATGTTTGAGCATAACTAGTTATGGTGGCCGGAGCAGTGGGAGATAATTTTTTACTGCATTTGTGTTCCTCAGTTAATTGCTTTTACTTTTGAGGAAAAGGAAATCTGGAAGAAAATGATTTGTCGGTGTGTAGCGGAATCTCACCTTCTACTTTTTCTTTTACGATGTAAAATGTACACTACTGCATCCCAAATAAATGGTTTTTAGGAGCCAGCTGCTATATATTGTTCTTCATATGTTACATTTGTGATGGGAGGAGATAATGGACTGTACCAACTGCAAGAAGGAAAGCTTAAGCTATAAACATGAAACAAGTTACTTTTATAAGACCATTTTGTGATTTTTTTTTTTATGAATATAAAAGGGTTCCTTCTCAGTTAATTTTAACTGAATTTATTTGAGATTTCATTTTGTTTACTTAGGTTTAGACTACAGATTCCCAGTCAATTAGAAAATAATACCGTCTTGCACTACAGTCCACCTAATATTCCAAAAGAAGGAGAAGAAGTCTTTGCTGTAGTTTGTCACATTAATAGTCCAAGTGATTTCTACCTCCATTTGGTAAGTTTAGAAATAAAGTCTTTTTTAAATAAAACTCCGAACAAACTTTTTAATGTTGAGCTGCTTTAGTCCACACTAAATAAGCTGTAACTTCCACTATGTTCTGTCACTTGTTACCAATGTTAGGATTCCTAGAATTAACAGATAATATTAATTCCTACAATCCTCGTTTGGTCCTAGGTTAATTCCAGGAGTTCTTAAAATCCCGGGAGGTTGACATTTTTTGCCAGTTATGTTACATGGTTAATTCCTATGTGTGCATGTCGTGTTTTACTGTTAAAAATGGTGATTGAACAGAGCAATACTTAGCAGTGGTTAGGCTCTTTAATTTACTTCATTTATTCAGAACCACTTCTTGGTTCCGTGAGGAAGACAAGAAGGTACACTACTAGAAAAAAATTATCCCTTTAAAGAGCAAAAATGCTGTGAAAGAAGAACATCAGATGTGTATATATGTTTTGGGGTTTTTGTTTAATTTCAGAGAGAGAACCTGGAATCTTTTCCAGAGAAAATTCAGGAGTTAAATAACCATGATTATGGAGAAAACTCAGAAATTTTCTGCCCAGTTGAAGGCCAAGCTTGTATTGCAAAACAAGAGGATGGGAATTGGTACAGAGCACAGATTATTGGTGAGATTTTGATTCTTTCACTCTTAATGCTGGATTGCAAAATCAGATGTGCTGCTAGATCAGAGTCACACGCTGGATATAAACAGTAACAAAGAACCATTATTTTTCCTCTGCATTCTGGTGCTAACAGGTTCATTAAGTTGGCAGTATTAATCCAAATTCTTTTGCTATTAATAGACTGGTTATACATCTGCTCTTTTTTAAATAAAAAGGAGCAGTATACTTCATTTTCTAGAGATTATTGAAATTCTTTGATATAGTTATTTTAGTATTTCCGTTACTATTACAGTTTGATCTACAGATTTGGCTATTACAGCCAGCCCACGAGTGTATGTAGTGTTGGTTAATAATTCTCCGTAGTAATTCCAAAGGGGATTGAGGGGGGATGTGCCTGTGCTAAGCTCTGTGTTGTATGTATGGGCAGTGTAGCATGTCTGTTTGCTTACATGTCTACTGGGCATGTGTTTAGCGTCCCAGTGTCTCATAAAGTGGTTAGGTGTTAGGGGACCAATATGCCAACACCTTCATTTTGGGAACCTGAAAGGGCTGGCCCTTAAAGAAAATTTTATAGTGAACTATTACACTGTGTAAATGATTACATGGTGGGAAATACCAGTTTTGCTCTGAAATTCTGGTACTTTTGACTTGCATCAGATAACTGTTTCTTTGTTCTAGTAACTTGGGTTGTTTTTCTTGAAGGGCTGCCAAGTTGTCAAGAAGTTACGGTAAAATATGTCGACTATGGCAACACTGCTAACTTACCTCATAAAGACATACGCAGAGTAAAAGAGGAGTTTCTGAGCTTTCCAGTAAAGGTAAATAAGTGCTTGCCTGGATTAAACACTCAAAATTATTAGAATCTCAGTGAGTGAAAAGGAAATAGAGGGTTGTTCACATTCTGAAATAAATAATATAAATAATTAGGCAACTTCCTTTTTGTCAGGTTCTATCATCTGACTGACTTGGTATGTTTTGGGTGTACACCTTTGCTTTTTAGATAAATTAATTTTTAAGGATTTAGAGTTCTTTGAAACATGAATTAACACAGGATAGGAAAGTCAAGCATTCAGAAGGTAAGAGTATCAGAAAAGAGGCTGCTTCTGCAGCATTATCCCATTGCAAGTAAGCATTGATAAAGCAAAGAGAAGTAAGCTCTTTCTATTTCAGCAAGAATTTATCTGAATTTGAGGTTCATGCTCAGCTACTGGGAAGAGAGGGATCATTTTAAATTAAAGCACATAGTGGTAATGTGGAACCAGAAATCAAGGTCATGCAGTCTTGTATGAATGCAAAGCAGAGTTTGTGATTTGGTTGTGATGACATGGTCCTGATACATTTATTATATTGGATACATCATTTTGGGTTATTCCTCAGGCAATCAGGTGTAGGCTGGCTTGTATTGAGCCTTTTAAAGGGACAAATGAGTGGAACAGAGAAGCCAAGAGAAGATTTGAAGAAATTACTGAAGATAAAGTTATGCTGTGTTCGGTTATTGGTAAGCTATCAAGAGTGTATTAATTTCTTTACATATTATTAAGTTGACTTAAATATAGAAACGTGCATTTTCATATTTAAAGTAGTATTTGTTTGAAATGCTTATGTTCATACATGCTGGAGGTAGCCTGGAGTGACTATATGTAACCGTGAATTACTTGGAGGAGATGTCACAGATGTAACAACTTCTGACAAAAGCTGGGTTTGTCTTCTCCTAAAGACCACACCAACATTAGATGATAAAAGTATTCTGGTACATTCAGATGGGCTTGTTTCCATAAGTACTAGCTATTCTTGACACTTCCTGATTTCGCTGGTAGCTGGGAGTGGGAATGCTGCCACTCTAAAACATTGCTCCCCCCCCAAAAAAAGGAATTTCAGATAACACGTACATGCCTTAGTAGGATTTTTCTTAATACTGTTTATTGTTCACATACCGCTCATTACTTTTCATCCCCTATGGAATGGTGGTTTGGAACTCACAGAATAAATGGAATTAAATGTAACAGTTTGTTTCTTTGTACAACAGTATTTTATAGTGATTGTTGTATTTTCAGTGACATTTAGATATGTGCGGAGCTAAACCTCTACATATTGTTGATGTTCAGAATGAATTATTTTATATATCAAATGTAATTTTACGACATTCTGTCTTCTAGTACCATTTATTGCACCTCTAAAATGACAAGTAGTGCCAATCAATGACAGTATAAAAACTAACTATGTTTATATTATTAATTCACAGAAATTTTAGATAACAGCATCTTATCTGTTGAACTCTTCAATTCCTCTGCTGATAATGGGAGAAAGTTAAGTATTAACTGCCAGCTAGTTGAAGAAGACCTAGCATCCTACATACCTGGGTAAATACACTGTACCTAACTTAAAGTATTTGGAAATACTGAATTTGTGTATTGAAATTACTGGCTTCCGTATGTCACCTCCAGTGGCTGGAATTTACCACATTTGTGATAAATGAATTTACAAATCACATTCATCAGCTGGTATAAGCTAAGAGTGTAACTCTGCAGCTTGGTAGTTGAATTCTCAAACTAAGTCTCGACTAACATAATGTGTTGAAGTTGTAATTGACTGAAAAGTTGGAGATTAAATGTTTTCATCATACTTGTAGTGTCCTTAAGTGCCAAATCTCCCAGAAGTGTTCATTGTTAAGGTTCCCATTCCCCTGTAGTAAGAAATGTGTGCGCGTAACCTGCTTCTAAGATAAGTCATCTTTGGAATGTTACTGAAAAACACTTGTGTAACCAGCTCTGATAGCAACAGGAAGAGTTGGGAAGTGTGCTGGGGATAATGAGGCTCATAAGGATATAACATGGCTGCATTTAATTTGCTGGCTTTCTATAGAGATAATCCCTGACCTGTATTCATGAAAATCTACGATTATTCTTCCATTAATAATGTTTGAATACTGGTGGAAATAGATTGTTCAACGGGAAGTTTTTATTCCAAAAGGAAATTCCTATATTTGCTTTTTTCAGGAGGAAGCATAGAAGTGGATTTTCATCTCTTAGCTCAGAAATACAACTAAATTGTAGTAACACTGAATTCTTGTACTTGTCATGGCCACAATTAGTAGTAGGATTTCTGTAAAGTTAAGCAGCTTTATTTTTAAACCTGAACAGCTGAGTTGTTTTGTCACTGTCACTGAGGTATTTTGTTGTGGTGCATCTATACTTAGATGACTGCTTCCAGCATTCAATCAAGGGTATATCATTTTAACATAAGTTACTGTGTAACACTGATAACTTGACTAATATTGATTTTTTTTGGTCACTTACTCACTTCTCCTTTAGTTCAACTGGGGAGAAAAAGAAAAAAACAGGAGCAAGAAAACTCATGGGTCAATATGAAGGCAGAGAAATTGGTTACCAAGTGCTGTTGCAGGCACAACAGACTTAATTTAACTTAGCTATTACTTTGGTACACAAAAAGACAAACATCTATAGCACCTACCCTCCCCCTTCCCCTGGATCAAGTTTACTCCAAGCACCTCTCTTTCCCCTCCTACACTCAGGTTACACTGAATCACTTCAGGGAGGCAGTGAGCAGTGCAGGGGATTGGTTTCAGGGCACAGGAGTTTTTCAGTGTTTCTCCTTCCTTCTTTTCATCCTGTGCTTCAGCATGGATCCTATACAGGCCTCTGACCCTCAGGAGTGGGCCTCATACTTTCCAAAAAACCTTCTGTTCTTATGATCTTGGGGTTCCCTAGGTTGTCTCTTCAGTTCCTCTTCTCTCTCTCCTTGGTGTTTTCTGCCCTTCATAAAATTAGCAGTGCCATCAGCTTCACGGGGGGAAGGGCTCAGCCATGCCCTGGGGAGGGAGTGTTGCAGAGCTACATCTGCCATGGAGCAGCACATGGCCTCTCCTGTCACAGGTCACCCCTTCAGCCTCTGTTCCCAGCTACCAACACAATGCCAAGTGCACCATGTTTTTTAGTTGGGATTATGTTCCTGTTTGGGAGCAGGGGCAAAGGGGTGTCTTGTGGGGGCTTCTGGCTTGCTTTGTTTTCCAGTGTGTGTGGGTATCTAGCTGTTCAGAGATCATTTGTTTTTCTCATTGAATTTCCCATTTGTGAAGATGAATGTCTGCAAAAAGGCAAGACTGGATAATGTAAACTTACTTTAGGTCATTTAGAGTCACACTTGTGACGTATAACACATACCACACATTGTGGTATGACTACCTTCAGTGTTTAATGCTGTTGAGGGATACCCAAGCCTCCTCTGAACTGCATAACAAAAGCAGGAGAACACAGTGCTCTGTTGAAGCTGACTTGCCTATAGGCAAACATCAGTAACCCTCCTCTTGTATTGGGATTGGAGGTAGACCATACAGAATTCCAGAATGAGACCTTGGAGTCTGAAATCCATTCCAAATTGATGGCTTTTTTCCTGATGGATCTGCAATTATAATGCCATTGTGGAGTTAATAGAGAGGGGGTTGTAAGGCATGTAAAATTTATTACATTTGGGAGAACTCTCCGTGGCAGATTGTCTCTCTCCATGTCATAATGCAGACTAGTTGTTCACAAGGCAAGCATATTTCTGAGCTATGTGTGCATTTCTTTCCTGGTTCTACAAGTTAACTGATACCCAGCAGTTTCCAAATACCTGCATCAGAAAGGTTTGCATAAACAATTGTACCTGTGTAGTGGATGATTCAGTACTTAAATATTAAGGAATTTTTTCTCTGACAAAGCACTTCACTTTATTCTCCTAAAGAAGACAGGTGTTTAGGTCTCTGAAAAGAGAAAATAATTTCCTTCCAGAGGCCCAGAAATGGCCAGCAGTTAAACTCCGGTTTCTGTCTCCTTCAGTCAGTGCTGTTTGCAAGAAACCAGTTCTTTTGCATTAAATGTTTCTTCATCTTTACAATCTGTTACAATCTCTGGGTGGCACAATCCATGGAGACTTGTACTGAGGTGGGCTGTGGCTCAAAAGACACACCGGGCAACTCTTGCTGCTGGGCTTTATTTTATCCAATCCACGTAATTTAAACAAGTTTTCGTTAATGTGTTGCCATGCCTGTACTTCATCTAACACTTAGGAAAGTGCTAGCACCAGTTAATGTTGTATTTCCTTAGGGAATGCTAGAAAGGTAATTGTTTTGCTAACGTTAATATTCTTCTGAAAGGAATATTTTCACATTGTAGGAGTTGAATGTTGCAGCTTTTACTCGGGCAACATTGCTTTAGAGAAGCATGATCCTGGTAACTTGATATCTTTAAGTCAGATGAAAACAGTGGGGATCAGCTTTCACTGGCAGCCTGGAATGCATAGTGTTTCCATCTGACATAAAAACGTGCCATGAAACCTTCTAAAGGAGAAAAAAAAATGTTACTATCATGAGACTTTCATAAGTATCATTTATAGATGTTCATCTTTTGGTGGGATTTTTTCCTGCTTTTTAAAGTTATGATTCCTGTCATGTCAAAGTGGGATTATTGAGCGCTTTTCACTTTAAAATGCGTTTAAACTTTCTATTATTTTGTGCTCTTTACAGGTACACCAAAAGTACTGCAGTAGGGCCCAATGAAATATGGGATGATCCTCTAGAAGAAAATCCTAAAAGCTCAGAAATTTTCAATCCTATAGACATGGAGCCTGTGGATGAAGGACTTTTCAGATTGGTTTCTAACAAAGACATACATGGGAGAGTTAGTCACGTTGTGTCTCCTAGTAAAATATTTGTACAGTTGCTGTCATCGGAAGGTATACTGAAAAGGTACTAAACTTCAAAGAACTCTTCTTAAGATGTTCTTATTACAGAGTGGTGTGGTATAGTTAGAATAATGACTTGTGTTGCTATGTTGAGGAAAGTATAGGAACAAAAGACAAGTTGGCGCTATTGTAGTTTATTAATACTTCTGATTCCAAATTAAGTATGTGATCTGGTTCCTGTTTCAAATCAGTTTTAATGTAGTAAGTATTGGGGCCAATGCAACACTGTCCAGAAAGATTGAATCTTTTTGTTCTTTAATCTTTCCTGTTCCTTCATTAGAAGTCTGGTTAAATAATATCAGTATCCTAAGTCATAGAACTACTATAGTAGTAGTCATTTTTTTCATCGTGATTCCAGTAAACTGTTGGGAAGTTTAAAAGAAAATTTCTAGACACAGTGTATCAGCCTTCTTTTGATAGATAGTCAGGTATCATTTAAGTAGTAGTGCATGCTGTTTGAGGACAGTTAAATGGACATGTCGTGGCTTACTGTAAGTTGCTTATTTTCTTACTTATTTTCTTTTTAATTTTTATTTAACTACCTAGAGTTCCATTTAATTAGTCATGACACTAAATGAGCGCCACGCTCTCGAGCTGTCAAGGGAAAACACTGGATCTTTCAAATAGTGCTATATAATGTAGTCAGGATCACTCAGATTAATTCCATGGTTTAAGAAAACATGATGGTTTTACAGAATATTTATCAGGGTATATGTGGTTTGTAGCTCCCACTTCATGTATTTCTGTGTCCTGAAGAAAAACTGCAATAACTGTCTGTCTATTAAACAGCTTCTGAAACTTTACTGTTGTATGCTAGTTTGACTCAATAAGCCCTTTATTCACTCTGTAAAACTTAGCTACTAGAAAAGTGTCCTTTGAATGTTAGTTTACAGGAGGAGATGGCTTCCATTTACAAAGAATCCCAGCCACAGTCTGTGAAGTGGAAAAGTGGCATGCACTGTGCTGTTTACATACGTGATGTGGGACAGTGGCAAAGAGGTCAAATAAGCAGGATTGTCTCCGAAACAAGTGCAGAGGTAAACCTCTTAGCGTAACAGGGTTCATGCTTTATAATTTCTAAACTTGTAAGCGTTCATTGATTAAGATAAGGTCAAATCTTTGCTTCTTACTTCTGTGTTAATATTTTCTCGTATGGTCTCTTGCTTTTCTGGAGAATTAAGTTGTACATCTCTACAAATGAACTGACAGTCTCATCAAAGCCCAAATGCCTCTAGCAGGGAACCTGGTAGTTGAGGAAGGCTCAGGAGGTTGACTTCCTGTATGTTTACACTAGATTTTGGAACATGGTGCAGATTCCCAAGCTATAGTCTTAACGGTTTAGATTGGATTCCGGAAGGTGTGTGAACCTGAAGGTCACGGTAATTCAAATTTAACAATCCTTGTTAAAAGACGGTGCCTGTTGAACCAAGTGCAACACCACAGAAACACATGTAGTCATGCTGTTGCTTGAACCCTAAACTGATGGTGGTGCACTTTGCCATGTAGGTATAACATCTTCCACAGTAATCTCTCACTCAGTGCTGCTTTAAATGTATTTTGTTGCACCAATTTGAAAATAATGAGCATCAGAAAAAAAACATTTTGGGACCAGATAGTTACTTGCTTCAAAAGTAAGAGTGGCTTTGTAATCACACAGATAATCTAGGACTGAGTTACCATTGGTTGTCTCCACCATCAGTGGGTTATGCCCAGGGGTCTTCTTAATAGGAAGCAGAAGTGGGACTTCCTATACTTCTGGTTTGCATCATCTGCTTTCTGAGCCTAAGAGCCCTCAAACAGCTGTTTTAACCACATCAGAATAAAAAACTGAGGTTGGAGGGGAGCTATTTCAGCAATTTTTGGTTTAAAGAAAGGTTTGTAAGTTCATTTAAGCCCCTTTAAGCACAGTTGTGGGGTTTGTCTACTTGCCTATGCTGTGGTAGTCATTTGTATTGAGTGATGAACTATTTCATTGTAAAAGCCATTTCTTGAATCTTGGTAATGATTAACATTTTTTTAACCTCTTCAGGCATGCTTTGAATTATGTCATTCCTTACAGATAACACTGAGAGTGTTTATCTGTTTGAATTTGTTTTTTGCCTGTAATAGGTAGTACTTTATGATTCTGGAGCTGAAAAAACCATGGAGATCAGCTGTCTAAGAAAACTTGAGGAAAATATGAAGATAATTAGGAAACTAGCAATAGAATGTTCATTGACAGATATAAGGTAGGCTTTCCCTTACAAAGATGTGCAGCGTTAGAAACTAATAATGATGTAATTTATTTTATCAGTGTGTTAGCACTGATTATCTAAGATTTGGATGTGGTTTCCCTTTTGAATAAAGAAGAAATGAGGTGGTGGCTGTGATCTTGTTTTTATAAAGGTTTGGGGTTTTTTTCTAAGGGTTGTACTGCATACCAGTAAAGCAGAAACTGTGTTACAGAAATACATAATATTTATAGGATTATAAAGTAGTGAACACATTTATTTCACTGCATTTTTTTTTCCTTGGCTCAGAATTTGAGATGAATCAAATCATATGAAACTGCACAGAAAGTCTATTCTAGACTGTTAAGACAGGTGTCATACTTCTTGAACTCATGGTCCTCCTCACTTAAAAGTTTTGGGGTTATATTTTTTTAATCCTTCCTGTCGTAAAGATCCAGAAATGAATAATCATTTCATTTTACTGTTCATTAATGGAGATCGTCTTTTTTTTTTTTCCTTGAGAGTTCAGGAAGTTTAAAAAAAAAATCAAATTCTTGATAAAGGGGAGGGTTTGTGGTTACGTTCAGGAGATGCCAACTTCTCTTGTACTAGAGGTTATCATTTGTTCTGTGTTAGACCAACAGGTGGAAGCACACAGTGGACAGCAACAGTGTGTGAATTCTTATCCTATTTCCTAACCGGAGTACAAGTAAAAATAATTATACAGGTTTGTAATCAAAACCAGTAGTAGTTATAAAATTTCTGCCAGGCTGTCTGTTAATTCAGTTTTTTTCTGAATATTTTACTGTTAAAAGTCCTCAATGGAACTTGCTTAGATAGCTGTTTGCTGTAGGGAAAAAGGTGCATTTTTCTTCTTTCTGCTCCACTTGTGTTATTCACCAGAGCATTGGAGCAGTTTGGTTACCCAGTGTGGAAAGAACTTAGTCTTAGATATAGTTAGTTACTAGAGAATATTATCTGTATCTTTGGGATCACTGGGTGCTGTCCATCTTTATGGACAGACAAGCAAGATGCTCAGGTTCTTGGTGAGAATGATTTCATCAGTTACCGTATCAGTTTTCATGAAAGATGAAAAGAATCCAGTGCTGTATGAACATCATTAGTAGTTGATTTTTTTCCCCCTATTAATAAAAATACTAATTTAAGGGTTTGATTTGATTAGTGTCTGTTGGAGCTTTACAATATGTAAGAAAATAAAAGCAGTGAAGGTACTTATGAGTAGGTTTAAAGCTCTTGCTGGAGGAAAGCAAGTGTCTGGCAGTTGATTCTAATAAAACAAGGGACAAAAGCAAGGTTTTACTTTTTTTTTTTTTTTTAAGGTAACGTTCAGAGTAGTTGGTAAAATAATGGGAACTGTCACATGGATTAAATAGAATTTGTCTTCTGATGTGGGCGTCAGTTGTTCGAGGATGTCTGATTTGCAATCAGTACCAATAAAGTTAAAAATATGCCTGTAGTTTGGGGGAAGTGCATATTGTAATATGTTGTCCGGCTCTCGCGTTTCTTCCAGGAAACTGATGGGGCATGTGCATTGCCTGTGAAAATTCTTTGCAAAGATGAAACAGGAAAAATGATCGATACTTCTGAATACCTTATTAAACAGGGTTTGGCTCTTAGAAACAGGAGGTTTGGATACTTTTTATATTCTTTCAGACTCTGATATTCACATTGGGATAAGCTAATAGATACTTTAAAAATTTGGATTGTCCTCTACAGCATATGTAGCAACAGAACTCTGTCTTCAGTGAATTTATTTAAGCATAACATTATTAGTTGTATCCATTGCACATTTCAGTTCTCTTAAGTTGGTAGACAAGATGTTTGACAGTATTTTAACATGCATTTGTCACCTTTGTGTGTTTGGGTTTTTACTTCTATTATTTTATTCTTTGGCACTTCTCAAGTTATTTGTCAGTTAATGTATTGTTATGACTTGATTGAATCTTCTAGAACTGATACAGCTGGTGTGGCATGCTCAGTCTCCAAGGAACATCTGAAAGTACACGTAGAGCAAGAGAACACACAACTGGATGGTTATAACTCCAAAACTGCATGTGCAAGAAACAGAGCCGTTCCAGAGGAGCACATCACTGTTTCAGAGAGTGAGCAAAAATCATTCAAAACACATTCAGGAGTGGATGAAACATATAAATCTCCTGCTGTACCTGAAGCAAAAGTTTTTCAAGCCATAGTGAGTTGCATTGGAGGTGATGGAACTATTTACATAATCCCAAAATCATTTGGTAAGTTTACGTAAAGGAAATTATGTTTGTCCGTTAATCTGAGCACTTTGGTATATCAGAATATACCAGATCTGTGTTCTAGTATACATGTTCTATATCAGAACACAGTTCTAGAAGACTCCTTTTGGGAGGGCTGCTGTTGGGAAGGTGATGTGTCCTTTGGCATGAGGGGTGAGGGGCAGGTGCCTGTCTCCCATGGGTAGAGTTCCTGCAGCTGCCTGGCAGAGGAAAGCCAAATCTCCAGGAGATGTCGCTCTGTCCTTAAGTCAGCTCTCCTGTCCTCCCACCATCCCAAGAAATCCAAAAAAAACCAAGCATTTGGATGGGCAGTTTACTTGCCTTTCTTCTCTAGGCAGCATTTGGTAAGGCAGGAGGTGCTTTATTTTATCCTGTTGAAATTGTGAAACATTTTACTAATAAAGTAAATGAAGTAACTTCAAGTAACCAAGATACAATCGTAGAGATTCTTACAAATTAACCTGGTTCTCATATATTACTCAATGTTTTTCCTTCAATTTGAGCTCAGTACCCAAGTTCCTTGGGCTATTTACTTGTGTTGTGATAGACTCTGTACCTCATAACATTTTCTGGTGGAAATTGATTCATTTTCATCTGACAGATGCAGTATCACTCCTCAGTAGCACAATAATATATTACGCTTTAGAAAAATGTTTACATACAAGAACATTAATTTATGTGTTTTGCTCCACAAGTATACTTAACTACTAGATCATACCATAAAACTTTGAAATTCAAAGTACGGGAACCCCACTTGCACAGGACTGAATTGTTCTTGCAGTTAGTGCTGTAGACTGTACCCACAGCAGAAGAGGTCCTGCTGGACACCTGCTTTGTGTTGTTTCATGGTGTCCTACCACTGTCTCTGACAGTCTGTCTTGTTTGTGCTTTGTATGGCTCTTGTATTAGTCCTGCAAAGGTGCTAGTTACAAAATTTATAGACCTTTCTTCTCTGAGTTTAGAATCCAGAATTAAGGGCTTCAGAATTAGAAATGCAGTTTAAGTAGTAAGTTGTCAACATTTAATAGATGTTGAACATACATATTGTATCAGTGTTGGAAAATGTTTTGTAGCAGCATGTGTATTTTATGTTTATATATGTCTTCATCTGAATCTGCTGGGTTTTAGTGATGAAAATACTTTGTGTGAATATGTTAGACTATTTTGAATTTTTTTATTTCCCCCTCACCCAAGAAATTGCACTAAGCAGTTTGATGACTGAAATACAAAATACCTTCAAAGGCCTTGGTCTTCTGATACCCTACTGCTGGAAAAAGGGAGAAGCTTGTGTTGTAAGAGGATCAGATACCATGTGGTATCGAGGTCAAGTTGTAGAAGTCTGCGGCAGTACTCTCCAGGTAAGTTTGATTATGGGTGGGGTGGGAGGGGGGGTGTATGAATATATGCATATGTATGTTAAAAAAAGGTAAATAATCTAATCTCCTAAACTAAACTTAGGATCCCACACCTTTTCATTCAGCTGACTTGACAATGCAGATGCTCATTCTGCTTAAAAGTGTGATTTTTTTTTTTCCTGAATTTCACGTTCATTTTAAAGATGAATTCTGTCTACCTATTCAAGTTGTCACCATTTTTCCCATAGTTTTCCTAATAATGGTAAGTTTCCTTGAGTAAAAATCTACTCTTGGTCACCTGTAAGATGTTAGGTTTTTTCTTCTTTTGTTGTTCTTACCATATGCAGAATGCTTTGAAAACAATTAGGTTTAGCATCTCCCTGCCCTGTCCCCACCCAGAAAGTAGTGGCTCTCTGTTTTGAATTCTTTCTGCTGCACAGGTGTAGAGCTACTTTTTCTCAGTAGCTGGCAATCTTACCTAACCTTTTGAGTCTGCTCATGATTTTTTGAATGTAGGTTTGCAAAGTCTTGATGCTCTCTTAGTTCACAAATTCTTGCAAGAGAAGTTTAGAAACTGGACTTCTAATCTGCCATACCAATTTTCTAATGTTTTCCTTCCACTTCCACTTTCACATCACCTGCTTACCATCACACCATTATTTTTTTCTCTAAAAAAGTGGATGCTGTAAACGAACACTTCCTCTTATTAAACTTTATTGAAATTATTCCTGTTTTTTTAAGTTGAGCTTTGCATTTCATATAGGTACGGTACATAGACCGTGGTTACATAGAGAGCATTCCTCAGTGTCATCTGTATCCAACTACATTTTATACTGGCATTCCTCCATTTTGCATCCCATGTCAGCTCTACAAGACATTACCGGTGAGTAATGGCAAATTTGTGTTAGTAGGTAGCTATTCACATCAATGCACTGTTCAGTCATAGGAAGGTTTAGACTAGTTGCTGCTATTTTTTCTTGCCTGCAAGGCTTCAGAGAAGACCTGATGAGGAGCATTTCAGTAAGGCAGCCTTTTATCAGGAACAGGCGTTATGAAGGGACGATGCTTCAAAAGCAGCTGTCGTGGGAGTTAAAACCTTTGTGAGGCAGGACACTGCAGTAGTTGGCAGGGTGATACTCTGATGTGGCAGTTTGTTTTGTAATAACAATAAAAATTAAGGCTTTGATTTCTTATGCAGAATGGCCAGAAAATCATAGATCTTCAAGTCCTGCAAAAGTGTTTCTGTCGTTCTGAACTCTGCTGTGTAGGAAACAATCTAAGCTAATACAAGTGAATTGTTTCAGGGGGTTTTGTTCATAAGTAAGTGGTATGTAAATAACATCTTCACATATCATCACACCTTGCTTGATTTGTATGGTGCATTTAGTAAATTTGAATTACTGAAATTACTAGCTAACTTTTAAACTTACTTTTAAAGAAAGCCTTTTTATTGCTTTAAAAGCAGTTAAACAGATGAAGAAAGGCTGCAAGTCTGGTGAGGCCAGGGGGGTTTGCAATATCTGTCCTGCTGGTGCAGACGTCAGGCTGCAGGAAGTGCCTGGACCTACCTCCTGGGGCAGGGACAGGCAGCAGACCTGCCTGCAGAAGGTGTGCTCATGTAGGGGACCCTCCTGCAACAGGTGGCTGAGCTGCAGGAGGTAGTGAAAGGTCTGTGTAATTGTCAGGGAAGCTGAGAAGGAGCTGGATAGCTGATTCCAAGTGCAGTCTGCAGTGGACCTGCAGCTGGCAGCTGAACAGCCGAAAGCTCTCCCAACGGCACACACAGAAGGGGTTGGGGGGGCAATAATGCAGAAGAATGGAAGCTTGCAATGGCTAGGACCTGCAGGAAGGAGAGACTTCCCCCAGGGTTCGAGGTGCACTCACGGAGCTGCTTTGGCATTCTTGCAAGCTGACGAGGACAGGTCTGTCACATCAGCCGAGTAAGGCAGCACCATCTGCTCCCCGTGCAGCCTCCAGTACAATTAACAAAGAACAGTGGGTGCTCTCTAGAGAGGTGTGCTGCCTGCTGGGAGCTTGTATCAGGGATGTCACAGGGCAACTGCCAAGCGTCGTACCATCCACTCACTATTTGCTGCTGCTGTTTCATGTTAGCCCCAGAGACAGAGCTGGGAGCAGTCTGAGAAGTATCGAGAAAGGTTGCAGATCCCAAGAGCAGTAGTGAGGTCTGTGGAGCCCTGGTAGTTTTTTCATCAGTCCTGCCTGTGAAAGGGTTGGGATTTGAAAGGGCCAGTTCAGTCTGGTGAGTTAAATGTTTATGCGATTGGTGCCACAGCTAGGGGTTTGGCTGCTTGCTCCGTGAAGTTTTAATGCACCAAATAGAAGATAATTCCTAAACGGTTGTAGAAAAATCAGACTAATGATGTGTGTTTTCAAATAAGTTTGTTTAGCGATAGTCATGTGTTTTCACCTGTCTTAGGAATAGGAAGAATATTACTTATCAGCATCTTAATGTGTGGGTTTCTTGCTTTTCTCCAAATAGGTTGGAAATTTTTGGCAGCAGGATGCAGTAGGTTGCCTTCAAGAACTACTTACAAACGAAGAGGTTGAAATACATGTTGAGGTAGCTTGCTTTATTCATAGATGTGGAAGCTTATTTTTCAGGTTTTTTTTTTCCCCTTTTAACTGACCTTAAGAATAATATATGAAGGAGCATAGTAGTAAATGTATTTTCTTACAAAAGCAAAACTAAACTTGTTGCTCTTGTGACTTGACCTTTATTACGGTTTTCAGGCCTTAAATGTGTCCCTTAGAGGTAGTCACACTTTTTCATCCTGTTTATATTCTGTGTTGTCATTCTGACAAGTAACCTAGCTAGCAACAGCATAAATTCTTCTAAATTCTAAGTGATAAATTTTTATATAGCTAAGTAAGGACATGCTTAAATTTTTATCTTAACATAGGGAAACATCATCTTTATTGCGTGAAAACAAGCAATTTCAGATAGTTTAACTTTTAATGATAATTTGTGAAAAGAGAAGGGTTTGGATGAGCAAACATGGGGTAATATTTCAGTGTTAGAATGAGTAGCTAATACTGCCATTCCAGAGATAGATATATTCCCATTTGTGTCATAACTTTCATTAGTAACCATCCTTAGTTGTTTTGTATCCCAGTGAATGAATATGGTGCATGTCAGCATGAGAGGTTTGAATTTCCTGGTCACTGTTTCTGAAACCTGTCACACTATTACTTATCATATACCTGTTTTGTCTTGCGTAAACAGAAATTACCGGATAACCCAGGGGACAAATTGTCCATCAGCCTGTATTTTGGTGGGATTTCGCTTTCATCCTTCATGGCACACCAGAAGTACTGCGTCGCTGAAGGTTTTCAGGATATACAAAAGGTGGTGAGACTTGTGTGTGTGCATCTATTTCACTGTTGTTATTCCAACATTGAAAGGATTACTCAGTTTGTTGTGACCTCTGGGGATTGATCTGTACTGTTTTTGTGATGTAAACAGCAGTAAGACAAGTACGCAGGTCTGCAGCATAGGAAGTGTAGGTACGACATGTTGATAAGATTGTATGGAATAGTGGGTTGCCAAGAGTTTGTTCTTCCATAATGAAAAGAGATTTTTGCATTCCTGTTTAAAGTCCAGTTAGTTTTTGTGTTCCTCTGAAACATAAAATGCCAGCAATAGGTTAATATTTTTATCACTTGAAGGGATTAGTGTTATTCATAGAAATATATCCAAGGATGGAGATAATCCAAAGTAAATTGAATCGGGTATTTCTGCATAAACCCAGTGATTTCTAAGGGAATTACCTAGGTTCTTTATTCCAAATGTCTGAGATGTTTATCTTTGGGGAAGGATTGAATTTTTACCTGTCTTCATTGTCTTAAATCCTACATAAGTAACTTCTCTGTATTTTATTTAAATTTTGGAATCTGAGGATCAGGTTTATCTAAATTGCTAAGACTCTTTACTTCACTTTTCTTAGTTCTGTTTCAAGCCTGCCAGTGTATTTTTCTTTCCAACATGCATCTTTTCTTCAGAAGATAATTTTACAGTAGCGTACGCTGCTGTCGCTGCAGAAATTGCACATTTTGTTGTGCTTCCTATTGAAGTACGAGAGAACAGGAACTGCATTTGTGACCTGTGATCCAGCTGACCTGTGTGCATCATTTAATGCACCAAGGTTTATTTTGTTGTGAACCAAAAGCATTAATGACATGTAGAATTTCAGACTGTGAAATGCATGGCTCTAAAAGAGGACACTGTGCTGCTGAGAAAATATGTATCTGTACTTTATGTGTTGCCTTTTTGAAAGAGTGATAATTGTAGTGGCTGAGGAGTTCATTTATTCTTTGCCTCGCTCTTAAAGGATAACTTGCTCTGACAAACTGCAGGAACACAGGGGCATGGCATTTAGGGTTATCTGTGCTAATTAATTGCTATAATTTTATGTTTTCTTTATATTTTTTTTTCTCTAAAGGGAATACATTTTTAAATTACAGCATGTTACCATGTCAGTAGGTTCAGATCATTTCAAAGATATATTCTTTGTTTTAAAACTGTTAATTAGTTCTCTTATCTTTTAGCTAAAGCTTTTTAAAAAATACCTCGTAAGTGTTGAAAGGAAAAGTTGATTAATATTTTTTCCATCAAGGACATGTTGTTTATTATTATACACATTCTTAGGTAACTGCTTTGAATCCAGAGTCATATCAAAGCTAGTTTCCATTTTGTTACTAAATGTGATGCTCAGCTGAAGTCTGTCTTGGTCTAGGGGCTCCTTGCAGGAGACACTTGTGTTTCGCGTTCATACAAGTTGCCACCACTACCGGTGCCAGGAAATCCCTTTCCTGTCAGAGTTACCCATTTGGTGTCCCCTAAGGAGGTAAGTCTTGTAGACATCTCGCATATGTAGCAGTCCCATCAAGCTGGTGAGCAGGGCTTACAGTTTTAGAGCGTTATAAAGGTTGCAAAATGGTCCTGACGCAGGTGGTTGTGCAGAGCAGGATCTGAATGAACTCTTACTTGAAATACCTGCGTGGGTGGGGGCAGAGAAATACAAACCATTTCTCTAAAAAAGAGCTTTGAGAGTTAAAATGTTTCTTTTTGGTACACACCCTGTTTAATAAAAAATGAGGCCTTTGGATTTTAATCTGGCAGAACAATACTGATTTCTGTGTAAGCCCACACAATTTTCTGTAGTTCTAGTAGTCTCCCAGGCAAAAGGCAGAATGTAATGTGTGTTGATCAAATACAAGATTCCCATGTGGACTTTAAATTTTAAATGATGAAATAGAGAAGAAAAGGGGGTGAGGATGTGCTGAACCTTTAAAAGATGGGAACAAGTAATCTATTAATAATTGTTGATCACCAATGGCATTTGAAGTTTTTAAGTCATTTTGCAAAAATGGTAACATGAGGGCCTTTTCTTTGAGTAGGTTTATATTTGCTTTGATCCTTCTGAGAACTCTACAAAGCAGCCTGCCATAGACGTAGAGAGAGCTTACAGCAGTGACTCAGAGCGCCTTGATGAAGCCCTGAAGTGGTGCAATAAAATTGTGGAGTGTCTTCCTCTTCTAACAAACTTTGAAAAAGGTACGTTAATGTGTTTATTTTCCCTGTTGTTTCATGTGGATATACCAAAAGCCTGAATTTCTTTTTGAAGAATAGGAATATTTATATTTCTATGCATCTTTAAATAAAACTTTCTAAGAGTAAGGAATAACGCTGCACTATAATCATATAATACACTATAATCATGGTTTTTACTTTTAAATTGAGGCTTTTGTGTCATTCTGTTCCATTGAAGAATGATGGACAGAACTCAGTTTTGATGACATTTGGTAGTAATAGAACTTTTCCCTTAAGGAGGCTGTCACTGAAGCTATAACTGTGAAAAGCTTGCTATTAAATATTCCAAAGACAAAAATTATGTATGGAAAATCATGTAACCAAGGTTTAGAAGCTAATGTGAACCCTAAGGAGCATCATTTTAATTCTAGATTTCTCCATTTAGGTGGAAAAATGGGCTTTAATTCTCTTGTCCACAACTGTTGGGTCTAAAATATCATAAAGTATGGGGATCTAAAATTTTGTGAAGAAAACAGTTACTGCTTGTACTTCGTTCTGCTAACAAGTAAAATTCTGGTTCAGGTTTTAAGCAGCATCTCCCTCATGTCCTCCAGACTTATATTTATTCTCTTACAGATCAATCTTCTTACTAACTGAAATGTGCAACTGAATCCAAGTTAAAAAGTTTTAACATTAAACTGTTGGGATCATTATCTTTACCTAGGAATTTGCTGTTACTTCTCATCATTGCCATGATGAGAAGTGTGACTTAAATTGCATACTAGTGATTGTGAATTGGAGTTCAGAGAGAATTGGGGGATGCATAGAACAAAATCATAGCATGAATTTAAGAAGGAAAAGGAAACTTAATCTCTGTCACACACAGTGGATTTTCAAGTTCACTTTGTACTACTGCATTGAGTATTCTGGGGTGTTTTGTGGTAATTCTTTTTTTTTTTCTTTTTACAGAACTGCCTTGCCTTGCAGAATATGTGGATGGCTTATGGTACAGGGCAAAGCTCCTCTCTGTTATACAGCTTGTCCCTGTTCAGATTCTGGTTCAGTTTGTTGACTACGGTACTTATTTAGTTGCCCCAACAAACAGGTAAATATATTAAGAAAAAAATGCACTTCAAATGTCTGTGTGTGTGTATATATACACTGGTATTATTTTATATGTAGTTATAAATAATTTTACATCTATTATTTCTTTTTATATAACTACATGTATGTTGTTTATAACTCAGCGTTGGATTTCAGTTGCGGAGACAGAAGGTTGGCTGGTTAAATAATTTGTCTGCAGAGCGTGGGGTTGTGCACCTGCGTCTGTCTCAGGTGGTTCTGAAAAGCCCATTAATATAAGATCAGATTTCTCCGTTATCTCCAGTTACTTAACCTGTGAGTAGGCTCAGGAGTATAATCTGCTTCTGCACCCGAGAAGCTTACTCCAAACGAGGTGCACAAACAAATCCTCTGATCCTGTGCGAAGTGCAGTCTGCACAGAAGATAGCTGGGGAATAAGATAAGGGATAGGAGAGTATCTGAGCGGGACACACTCTGTTCTGCTTGGTGCTGAGCAACGCTAAGAACTGTGCTCCCGTGCTGACACAGGTGTCACCTCAGTGTATTAAACACACCAGGCTTTCAGGGTCCCCTAAGCTTGTCTGAATTTCTCATAGATACATATATATACACACTGTATGTATATGTGTTGATAGTACTAGAGTACATCTATATATAATACATATATATATAGTGCATATGTACATATTTTTAATATGTACTGCATACTCACACTGACTTGCTCTTGAGCTCACTGGGGAATCTCCACGTCCTTGCTGAAGATGAGACAGAATGGTATTTGAACAATTTCCTGCTTCACATACTATTAGGGTCGTGGGAGACAGGGTTTTATTTCAGGGTTGCATTTCCTGCTCTGCTTCCCCATTCCTTTGCTTTTGGGATAGAGAGATAGAAGAATGGGAAGACACTAATACAGACCCAAGGTACCTATTTCCACTAGTGTATCTAGAGCACATTCAGGCATGAAGCACTTTGTACCACAAAGGTTTGTGGAGCCTGCAGTGTGATGATTTGTACTTGGATTCCTGTGCTCAGATGTTTCTTAGGCACTGGAGACTCCTCCCCAAGCGCTGTGGTCGGGAAGCAGTTTGTGCCTGGTGGGCCAAGAGGTCTGTAGGATGCTGGACTGCTTTGTGATAGTTACTGTGCTAAGAGCTGGGCCTGCCTCCCAGAGGAATTGTTCAGTCTGACTCTGGCATTTTACCACAGAGCGGGGAGTCTGATCCCCGTTTCTGCCCAGTAAACCTACTGCATGAACCGTTCAGCAGCCCATCCTTACTGAGAGTGGAGCTTAACAAGTGGATTGTTGTGGGCAAACACTTGTCATTTTTGTTGTAGATTGCGTCACATACCTTACTGTCTCCTGAAGTACCCCGCTCAGGCAGTCCGGGTTCTGTTGGCTGGATTTAAACCTGCTCTAGATGACACAAACATGAAAAGAATTCCTTATTCCCCCGAGTGGAGCCTCAATGCATTGTGGGCTATGGTGGACTGCGTGGAAGGAAAACGTCTCTCTGCTTCCATACTTGTGAGAATCACTTTTCTTTTTTTTCCTTTCCCTCCTAGTTCTTGCTCAGCCTAAAATTCTTACTAGCACTCTAAGGATTTATTTTACTGTGTACTCTCGTAATTTAAAACTGAGAACCATTTACTTTAAAGGAAGGCTAAATGAAGAGAGAAAATGATGTGGTCCTCTTCCTAATCCTGCAGTCAGAAAGTTTTTGAGCACTCCTGCTGTTTTAACACCAGTTTTCTTTACTTAAAAACAAAGTACTCTTTGTGTATTAACAGTTCCACTTAAGCAATAAGTATAGCCAGTAAAATAACTAGCTTGAGATTTAAATCTGTTACTGTCAACTCTGTCAACTTGCAGACTCTTTCACCAGAGATCAAAATTTGTTTGTATGGAGATGACAAAAAACTGGTTCATATGAAGCTGATAGAAATGGGACTTGCAGACTTTGACGAGTGACATGTAAGTACAGTGACTATGAACTACAGATTCATACTGTTCTGGAAGGATGATTTCAGAAGTTTAAAGCAAAGTATAAACTGCCAGTAATGTTGGCAACTAGAATTTGTTTTTTAAAAAAATCCCTTCTGTGCCCTTCCACTCTATTAATGAAGTATTTAATATAAAACCAAAAGCTGTTAAAAAAATTCTTTTCATACCATTACTGAAACCCACAGTTACTGGTTTAAGAACTAACAGGTACAAAGAAACAGGAGGCAGAGACCTAAGGTGATACAGCATAAAGAGCCTTTGCTGCCAGTCACTGAGGAAGGTAATTTGCAGATGTGTGACAGTGCACTTTGCCCATATAATAAAAATTAATTCTATTTTAGGTGTTTGATCTCAATGGCAGGTGCCAGTGGTTACTCAGGCAAACATCCATGAATAGCATATTGATGTCCATATATCTGGCAAACATGGAATATTTTTAATTAGGAGCTTTACACTGTGTTATCCATAGAGAATAGCAGAGACTTAGATTTTTAAATTTCTTGACTGACTCTCTCTTATCTAGTATTTTTCCCCCCTCCCGTTTAATAAGCACTCTTCTAATAGATGTTTACAGATGATGTTCCAAACACTTTTTGATCTTGAAATAGTGAAAATTTATATTCACATCTCAATCTTTTTTGACCATGGAGCCCCAAGTATTGTTCTATGATACCCTTTTCACCATGGAGCCCCAAGTATTGTTCTATGATACCCTTTTCACAGGAGTAGATGGAACTAATGTACAGTGGTAAAGAAATAAATAAAAAGCTGATGCTGGGCACAGTTGTTCTAGTATCTTGTTAGAAGACTTGAAGGGAAGATGATACTTTTATTATTGTGACATAACTTCTCTTTGTGTTTCAGGTTTATCTGATGACAGACGTCTTCAGCACCAGTCTAGGATAGGGAGCAAACAGTTGGGGTGGAGGGGTATTACTGTAGTTGTTCACTATGTTTGCATTGTTGCTCTTTTCTGTTTGTGTTGTTACACCTCTCCTTCACTTCAGAGTTCAGGGAATAAAGTTGGTTCAGCATGCATCTGAAAGCTTGTTTTCCTTCACTGCTACAGTGTGTAAGGTTTCTTTGGATGTCTCTATTGTACTAAATCCCCTACATGTAAACCTCAGCCCCTTTCAGTCTCCCCATGGAAGGTTTTGTTCTAGATCATGGAGGAATGAAGACTCCACAACCTCTCCAAGAAACCACTTGCAGTGCCCAGACACCCTCACAGTAGAAAAGCCTCTTGCTGTTCAGAGGGAGCCTCCTGTGCTCCAGTCTGTGCTCATACACACATAGCCTTGCACCACATCTCTTCCCTCAGGCTCCCATGAAAGCAAGGGTACAAAGCTGACCTTAGCAGTGGTGCCCAGGTGTGCTGTAAGGGCACCTTGCCAGGCTAGACAAGCCGTTCTCACTGCTTCCCATGAGTACAAAATGGCATGGACACAGTAAGGACAGAGCTTGCTTTCACTAAGGAGAGAGGGGAAGGGGAGCAGAAGGGACAAGGCAGAGAAAGTAAATACCTTCTACTGTGCAAGGGAATTGATATTTTTTTGGCATCCACAGAAATGGAATTGGAACAGCCAGCCTGGCAGCAACCCTTTGCTAGAGTAAGTATTTTAAAAGACAAGTCAGCTTAAAAACACCTGTGAGGTGGAAGAAGTGGATGGGATGACCTTTGTTAATTTTCTGGTGTTTCTGAGTAGCTTGGAGAATTAACTTGTTCCCCAGTCTCAACCTGTGCTAGCCTTATCAATATAGATGAGCAGTTTATAGAACAGATTTTGTGGTCTGCCAATGCTGTTGCCTCCTAAGTGAGAAACTGAAAAAAAGGGTATTACAAAGGAAAACAAATAGCCTACAGCTGACTGAAAAGGAGTGCTGCCATTCATTTACTCTCTTAAATCAAGCAGTAAGTAAACTGACACCCTGATTCTTAAATCTGGCCACCTGCTGTATTTTCACCACAGCAGGGGTTAAAACAGCATGACTTGGATTGAGGAATCTTCTCTTAGATGTCTAAAATAAGGTAATCTACAGCTATTAATTTCTGACAGCTGATTTTAAAAAAACAGCCTTTAAACCACACCTGCCAGAATACAGAATCAATAAACTGCTCCTTAAAAGTGGGAATGGGGAACAAAATAAGCAAAAGCTCTGATGATGTAGCACCCACTTAAAAATAAATTTATTTTGTAAAAACTATAAACAGTATATACACAGCAAGCGTAAAGGGGTTTCACTTCTTGTTTACAGGAATGTACATTATTTTTGCTGATGTCTTAACATTTCAGCAGTTTTGACGTTGCCTACAACTTAGTGTCCATGATAATATTCCCATCCTTGTCCTTTACTCTGACTCTCCCAGAGCCATACTTTGTTTCCTGCTGTCCATTCATGTACACAGTCTTGACAGAACCGTCTGGGTATTCCCGTCTCTTGAACTGTGCTGTGTGTAGTTCTCTCTGGCCGTTATTGAACTCTATAGTTTTGCTTCCATCTCTGTATTAAAGGAGGAAAAAAAAAACAACCCATACTTTGTAAGGATCAGACATAGGCTTAAGATTAATCTCAGAACAGCAGTTGTGCAAGCCTAAATGAAGGAAGAATTCTAAAAAATACAGTATTTGTGGGAAAATCTGTTAAATATCATTGCAGCTGGTTCATACTCAAAAACCTGTTTCTGTAAAACTGACATGACTTTTTTATACTTGTGAGCCTCTACTGCACTTTCTCTGCACTAAATGCATTGCTGCAACAATCCAAGCAAAAGTTTAAAACTCGATGTTTTGAGCACTATCAGTTATCAGCTGTCAGTCAGACCCATTTTCCAGTCACATTCTCCTGTGTTTTTTCAAATTATGTACAAATCAGAGAAGTCTCCCAGGTCAGGACAATACACTCAGGCATTAAGTCTTTGTCTCCTCCAGGCTACCCAAAGAAAACCCCAAAACTCAAGCAGCTGTACATGTTCACAGTACAGTACATTCCAGTGTAAACTGGTAGATCGAGATCTGTCACCATAGAGCGCCCCCTGTCCCATCCCCAGACCGGGGGACCCAAGAAGGGAAAGCTTACGGCTGAACACGAACAATGGTACCATCTGGAAGGATACTTTCTTCTTGCCCATCCGTAAATAAGTTCTTAATAGTCTGATCAGGGAAGGTAATTTCCTTCTTGCCATCAGGGTAATGCTTCTCTGAAATGTATTTTGAGACAAGATGCTTATTACACAAATACTGTTATGGGCACTAATTCTGACAGTTGGGTTGGATGTTTTCTTTACCTATTTGTCCATTTGAAAACTGCAAGACCTCTAAGCCATCAGAGTATGTAGTATGTGTAGTCTTAGCATCAGCATAATAATAAATCTGCAGAAAACAGTTCAGATTTAATGTAACTAGTGAGAAACTTTATGTTTGTACATGTATTTAATAAGTGTTAATATATATTTAATAAATACTTATTGAAAAAACCTGAAGATGCAGGGTACATACCACTGTTTGATCAGGCATAACCTGCTTCACATCCCCATTGAAGAAGGTTATAGTGACAGTCTTTCCATCAGAACCCACTTTTTTCCACGTTCCATTGGGAAAAAATACGAGGTGACAGCCATTTTTCAAAACTTGCTCAACCTGATGAAAACATTGCAGAGACATCAGTATTGAGCCGTCACACTTTATGTTGTCATTCATTGTGCACAACAGCTGTCCTGCTGAATTTCAGAGTGCCAGGCTCTTTATTTTACCTTTCCATCAGGATAAGCAGTTTCTCTCTCTATCTCTTCACTGTCCACATATGCAGGACCAGATGGTAGTGACACATGAGCTTCACTAGGAGAGATGTCCTGATGACAAAAAAAAACTCAAATCAAGCTTTGTATGCGTTTTTTTTTTCCCCTAGGCTGACAGGTATTTTAGGAAGTGAGAAAGATAAGTGTGGGAAGGCATAAACACAACCTGGAGTTTAAGCAACTAGTGTAATTCAAGTGGAAAAACAGACAGACTCAGCAAAAATTGGATGTCCGTGGTCAGCTGTAGTCTGGACTAAAGTGGAATTCAGTGGTATGTTGTAGCATGGTGCTCAGATTCCTTAAGACATCCACAGTAAGGTATGAAACGAAGTTCCATAAAGCCTGAATGTTACCTACAGCAATTAATGTAAGAAGTAATTCAACTATTTACAAGATCCTTGCACAATTGCCCTACGTGGAGGGCACCTGTCTTTTTTTAACTCTCTTAAAGGGTAAAACCTTTTGCAAAATTCAAAAGAGCAGGAGATTATTAGTTTCTTTCCTGAGCCAAAGAATAATGCATCTAGTAGACCTCGGTAAAACACTCTTCATTGACTAGCCATTTTCTGGTATTACAGTAAAAGTTGAAGAACATAAGAAGGTGAGTCAACCGCCTTATCAGTCACCCTCCAGACACTCATTTAAGTACAAGTAACATTTTCTTCTAGACGTTTTCCTCCCCCTTAAAAATCAAATCAAGATTTGATCAGGACTTACTACCATGAAAGTCTTAGAAGAATCTTCTAGTGCTGTCATTGTCTCAGAGTTGCTTCTGTCATTAGCAGGTCCTGATGCAGGTGTTCTAGAAAGTTTTCCTACTCAGATACATGTAATAGTTAAATTAGACATGGAAATTAAAGTATGGTTTGAGTGTTGCCATTATATATGAGGTCCAGTTGTACAGGACACCTACATTTCTTAAGTGCAGTAGAAACCGAGAGCAGCATATTTATTAGAAGAATCAGCATGTGCCATTAAAAGAATCAGTCACTGCCATCGCTTCTTGTGTCAGCAAGAATCTACAACTGAAGAATCATTGCAATAGGCATAAACGCACTTTCTCTTCTATTTCATCTCTGTAGATTTACAAAGGGTTCCCTCCCTTCGTCCCAGGAATTTAGACAACATTTTAGTTATGCCTTGTAATGAATAAAGTAAGATTAATACAATAACAGGAACTGATCAGCATACTTCTCCCATGTCTCTCCTGTCACATTACCAAAATAAAAACACCTCCAGCTCTGGAACATATTCCTCTAACGTATAACACAATGGTTGGTTGAGCTGTCAGAAGTGTCAAAAAATAGCCTGCAGTTACTTTCCATACATGATTATTCGTTAGGAAGGCAAACAGGCTTTGCTCCTAACTGTGAACAAGGAACACCTGCTACAGCATTGCCCAAAGGATTACAGATTCCGACCACAGAAGATTCAGAAGAGACAGAGCAGTTCCCATGCTCTCAACACAGTCACGTAGAAATTAGGAAGAAGCTCTTCATTGGGAGGGTGGTGAGGCACTGGAACAGGTTGCCCAGAGAAGCTTCCACTCCCTGGAAGTGTTCAAGGCCAGGATGGATGAGGCCCTGAGCAGCCTGGTCTAGTGTAAGGTGTCCCTGCCCATGGCCGGATGGTGGAACTGGATGATCTTTGAGGTCCCTTCCAGCCCAAACTGTTCTATGATTCTGTGATCTAATCAACACCTGCAGCTTGGAGAACACAAATGATGAATGCTATTTTGGATTACAGAAGACAGCTTCTGCTATGCTCCAGACCACCAAATAGGACCAGAAGCATTCTCACTCTGAGATTGGTCTCATCACAGCTTTCTCCAGAATCCCACCCTACAAGGTATTTATCCATATGCTCAAGCCCGTTACAACTATCACTGTCTACGTCTGAGGCGGTGATACACTCCACAAAGCAAAAATTCACATTAGTTTTACTTTAAAGACTTAGAAGAATTCTCTGATCAGAAAAAAATTTTTACCTTTTGCCTGTGAATAACTTTTGCCATTCATTTTGCTGCACTTTTGTACTGGAAGAAGCAGAGATGCAGTTTGACTTTTGGGCCCTCTATTTGGTAGGCACTAAAAGAAAGGGAGTAGCTGTGGTTTACGTGACTTAAAACTGTTCATACAGCATCAACAAAATTTATTGACCAAATGACATGAAAGTTACTGGAAGCTTTTTTCACCAACTATGCATTTTTGAGACTTGGTCAGCAGAAAGGCTTGTGTGATGTAGCCCAA